CTGCACACAGGACGCGGTAATGCTTGCCGCGCGGCGGAAGTCCGCGCGACAGCCAATGAATATGTTGTTTTTTCGTAAGAGCTAGAAGGTTATTACAGAAAGCAGCATATTGATTGGCTGTCGCGCGAACTTCCGCCGCGCGGCAAACATTACCGCGTCCTATGTGTAAGAGCCATTAGGCTTCTCTCTGGTTGCATTTTGTGAAAGCACAGTGGTGGTTGACATCAAAACGAACAAACTTAAATGGACGTAGGAGCAGTAGGATATCGAATATTGTTGAAGATTGATGTGTAAATTATGTCTAACAAAAATATATACAATCTTTCGGAGGAACAACAACAGATTGCGCGATGGAGAGACGTGAAACGGAAGCAATTGCGTGAAATATACCTGAGAGATTCAGGACATCCGACTAAAAGCCTCCTTGTACGTATCTATGTAAATTTATTTCTCTATAAATGTGATAATATTTTACTTTACGATATTTCCAACTACTTGACTTGATGATATATATTTCATTATTATTACTTGTTTGTGTAATGATAGCTCTTATGTTGTCACATGTCTTTAAATGCAATATATGTCTTGTTATCATACTATGTTAAGCTCGTATATTTCAAGATTAAACACAAGAACATTTTACATTATAATTTTAGCGACAATAGCAGATTATAAATATCTTTATGACATCTATATATGTATAGTTGTTTTGTTTTAATTATTTGTGTAAGTTTCATATTTTATGTGCATATATAATTGGTGAATTATATAATAAGTTGAGAAAGATAATATATATATATCAGTGATATTAGTAAACATAATTTTTGTTCCACTTCAATTTAATAACTAAAGATATTTTTGACATACAAGATGTAATAGCTGTATATATATGTGTGTGTGTGTGTGTGTAAATAGTATTATCTTTCATACTTGAGTAATATTACTATTCTATATATACAGTGTGATACAGGAATATATAGATTTGCATCAGCAAATGCAACAGTAGCAAAACGTTTTGTACCTACACTAACAAGTTTCCTTACAAAAGTGTTCATCATTGGTGGTCTCATTACTGCAACTTACCTTAAGTTAGAAAAAGATAAAGTAAGCCAGATTTTTAAAAAATATGTCATTGAAAATATTAACATATTATAATATTGAAATATGTATATATATATATATATATATGTTTTTCTTACAGAGGGAACAGGAACACAAGTTACGTACTGGACAAGTTAGTTATGCAGATAGAAACTGTAAATTTGTATAAACAATGGATCACATTTTAGTAACAAGCTCAATTGACATGTCTTATTTAATGGTGAATTACACAGCAAAATAAATTGTTGAAACTATTATAATCAATGTTGAATGTGTTATTGAGTAAGATGAAATATAGCAGTTAAAGAAAGAAAAAATATTAATTATTATTGTTAACCAGAAATTACAAAAATCTGATTGGGATTCTTAAACTGAATCTAGGTTAAAAATCTTAAACATGTAAATATGGAAAAATAATCTCAGTTGTGTGGATATATATTATATATTTTCTTTTGACATAAATAACTTTCCTTAATTTATCTCTCTTTTATTATCTATCTTCTAGCTGTTTATCTCGAGCAACAACAGCATCGTCAAACTTAACCATATACGTAGTTCCTTTGTGCCAATGAGCAGTTACTTTTGCAGGCTGCAATAGAAATAATTCTTATAATTTTTCCCATTATTTTCAAGTACAAAATAATACGGAAAGTGATAGAAATATTGTGGCATACAGGAGAAACTTGGTTTATTTTCTAATCAAACACTAGTGATTAATACTTACAAAACCACAGTCATACAGCACTGCCTCGACAATACCAGCAACAAACGACGCACAATTCAAGCTTCCCTTATCTTTGGGCACCGATACGAATTTGTTTACCAGTGATTCTTTCTCAATAATATAATAAGTACGTTCGTCGTCATTGGCGTGTTCCAGCTTGTCAGCTTCCCGGCCAAACAAGGACTTCCACACGGTACTTTTGATGAACAATAGTACATTCAATAGTTTTATCTCGCGCTTGCCGCTTTTTTCTCGGACAACAAGCAGATCCGTTATTCTGTGTCCAACTTCTGCTCCAATTTCCGCCAATCTAACCACAAAGAACATAAGAATTACGAAAAGAATCAGTGTGACGGACGTGACAATTTATTAGTTTCTCTTACTTATTTTGTAATTCCGGGACGGTGTAGACTCTGTTCTGACAATATTGCACAAGTTCAGAAAACAAGAGAGCGAAACAGCTCAAGCTAACCTCTCCTTTGCCCTTGCTAAGCGACTTATCAAGGATGCTCGTACGTGGCCTTATGGCTGATATCGTGATGCTCGACATTTTTCGATAATTGCTCTGTAAGTCGAGCTATTTTTACGAATAAGTTATCAAAAAAACTTTACAACATCGCTTGAAGCACCGTGCTGTCAAACATCAGTGGTTTTCGGTGTGTTGCATCGCCATTTTGAACAGGCTAACATCTGGCGGAAAATTTAATTTAACGGAAAACAAACATCTCACATAGGGTGCGTTCGGAAAGTACGCTGCTAACGCTACCGCGTTCTTTTATCTTTATCGCTCCTTAGATATACAACAAGGATAGAATGACACGGTAGCGCTGAATAGCGCTAATAGCGAGTTCCCCGAACGCACCTATAGTGAACAAATAACTGCTACTAGTTCAAGTTTACATCATGTATAATGAATATTTATTTAGTTTTATATAAGTTTAGTTTCCCCTTAAAAATACATATGTGCGCTAAACTGCAGAGACGGAGTTTTAATATAATAAAAAAAGAAATACCTTCTCATTAGTATCTCATTAGTAAAGTAGTAGTAAAACAGTAGTCTAGTAATGTTTTTTGCAAGATATACGTTTCAAACTGGCAGTATTTCGAAACCTCTTCCATATATACACACGATATTGCCATTGCTGTTAAATAATGTGTTTATATTTTTTAAGATAGATCTTTATATTAAATTATGATATTTAATGTATAATCGTCTCTCACTTGTCAGAAGGCCACAAGTCCATGCCTTGTACATCTGTGATGGATGTGAATACATTAGAGAGAATTCTTGCAGATAAAGCACCACTGGACCATGAGTAACTGTAGATGATAACTTGTTGGTCTATCCCCACGCTACATATTTGATCATCATCTTTAAATTTCAGACCTGTTGATATTGACATTGTAAGTTTTTACAATTAATCAACACTTTCAGTGTATTTAATCTGTCTTCCTGTTTACAAAAATATTACTTCAATGTTATATACCTGCAATTTGTGCGCAGTGTGCGGACGCTGTGCTCCATTTAGATAATATTACAACTGACAATATCTCATCGGTTTCCAAAATTCGAAAGCAAAGGAGATTGAAAAGGTTATCGTCACCACCGGTGATCAAAAGATACTTGTTCTCGTCCGCGAGTTTTAAATCGTAAGAATTAATTCCAGACTGATGCAAGTTGAATTCCGCGAAAGGGGCGTCATTAAATTTTATAATATTCTGATTCTTCAAATTTGCGTCCTTGTATATCTTCGAAACTACGCCAGTGAGATCGAAGAAACGTAGTATTCCGTCAGTAGTCATTGTTAGGACGATCATTTTGCATTTGTGTGACAAAACGTGCATCTTCAAGATACATCGATCTACGTATTTGGTAGATACTTTCAAGTACGTATCGCTAGTTTTAATATCATATACAAATATTCTGCTCGAAAGGAGGAAATAATTATTTCATAATCTCATCGGCATTGAATACTCGATAAGTAAATGATTAGATTACCTCAGGTATCCATCTGCACACGCCACAAATATTAATACGTGATTCAAGCTCTTGGATGGATAATACGCGTGAATATCCATGTAACGCGTTTCTGGTTCTATGATGTAAGATTGCTCAGTCTCTTGCCAAGGTTTCTTACGATATTGATCTTGTCCATGGAGCATATGGGACTTCACATCAAGACACGACAGATCTATACTCGGCGATACCCTCTCATTATACTTAAGATTCATCTGCCAAACCTTCAGTTGTGCTCTCCCTCCACCGGAGAACACTAAATGTCTGCTGCTTAGCTCGTCGACTTCAATGTTCAACTTGACAGCACTTAAGCATTTTATACCTGAAAGATGACCGTCGAAGACTCCCAAATTGTGAAAGGCACAGGTGTCACTTTGAGATACTTGGGAGATGCAGCTAACGCGAAGAGTACAGTCTTCACCGCCGGACACGAAAATATCCCGCGCATCTAAACACGAAATTCGTTGAAGGCAACAAGTTTCCTTTACGTGAAAACCATCCTGGAAAGCAAAACGGGGTTCAGAGGTTTATGCAATTGCTGTCCATCTAACAGATTGATCTTACTTGTAAAATCGGCAGTTTTAATGATCCTAGAGGATAATCGAATATGTAGACCTGCTTATTTCGTATGTAAGCAAAACTGGCTGTTCTATTTAATATTGTACAGTCCCACGATCTATGACCACCGCCACAAGGAATTCTGAACAACAATCTTTGCTGTTGTAAGTTATAAATTATAAATTCTGCCTGAAAGAATCACCATAAATGTTTTTCTGTTTTTTTTTTTTCATATTGTGCATATATCTAGAAGCGAATTTACAACCTCTTTGAAACCAAAGACAAGTAAAATCCCGTCCACTTTTAATGTGCCACTGATCCAGTCCATTGGCATTTTTTTCTTATGCAGCGTCAGTAAGGAGTTTCTGTTCTCTTTGTTTAATTCATAAAATCTCAACATTCCATCGCGTCCAGTCGTCATCAGCTTGTCTTCCAACACGTCGAAGGACTGAACTCCTATTTTACCGTGGACTTTAACGAGCGTTTGACTAGGTGTCTTGATGTCCTCGCTCTCGTTCGATAATTCGAATACATATACGTTTCCAGTTCTATCTCCACAAACCAACAACTTTTCGTATATTGTAGCTGCGGTCAGCCAACGTTCTCGACTAGAAGGTAACATGCACTGTGTTTCTACGTGAGTTGTACCTGGATAAAGTTAGCAATAGTAACAAGACACATTTTGAATTTCTTGAAAAGCAAAAATGTGTATATTATACGCACCATTAATTGTAAAATGAAATATTCTTAGAAGACCATTCGCACCACACACTATTAGTGCGTCATCTCTCAACCACTGCAAAGAAAAGATTTGTGATTCCATTATTCTCTCTTCGAGAATCTGATGCAGATGCTTGGTATTTGTATTAATAATGTCTAAAAATATACTTAGATTGAATGACATCGGCAAACGACACGAGTAGAGATTCAATGAGTAAAATATATTTGTATAGATAATATTTGTAAATATTATACACACTGCTTACCTTTGTACAACGTCACATATCCATCTCTAGATGCAAAGGCAACGAAAGAACGACATGGAGAAACCTGCATAATACAATAACTGCAATATTTTTCCAAATATAAAGAGTCTTTTGGCGTGGCTTCATTTTTGTTATAACAGAATAGTGTTCCCTTTTCGTTAAAGATCAAAATTGTACCACTGCTCAAGTATGATATGTATTTAGGAATATTGTGCGTATTGTTGCTGGTTAGAGAAATTGTTTTTGGGCTGTTGTAGCATGTGGATGGCCATACACACACAGCTCCATCAGCTCCACCCGTGAATATATTTTTATTGTCTGCAGACGTGTCAATACTCCATATCGGTGCTCCATGGTGGGCATAAGTTTTATTAAGTAAATTACCTGAAAGTGACCATGTGCACATGAGTGAATCCTGAAATAATAGAAAATTAATATACAGGAAACTTATAATTTTTATATAATTTAAATCTTACCTCGCCTATTGTTATAACAATGTCATTCTTGATTATAGCTCTCCAAACTCTTGCTGTATGCGCATACATTGTTTTTACCAACATTACTGCTGTTGTCTGCCAATTTATATTACTGCTCTCAGAGTTTTCACTTCCAATTACTTTCCACAATCTGACAGTTCTATCATCAGATGTGGAACATATGAGATGAGAGTATGGATCAAAAACAACAGAGAAAATCACACCCTGAAATAAATATGTAAAATTTTTATCTAAATATTCCTATAAGAAGATACAATTCTTAAGAATAAATACTGACTTTGTGTCCTGTCAAGCGATGCAAAATTGGCATACTTTTGTTACTGTCATGATTATTATCTATTTTCCATATTAAAATTTCTTGAAATACTGTTCCACTAAAAATTACCAAGTCCTCTTGCAATGTTCCTGATATAAAGCCACCATAACTACATATCAATTAAGAAAATTATAATTTTTTAAATAATATCTTTGCAACTAATTTTTTTGACAATCATAAAAGGATACAGTATACATTTTTCTTCACAGCATACAATTTGAAAAGAACCTTCAGATATGTCATATATAGATACACAATTATGGGCAAACAAAATTGCCAATTGCAATTGTTTTTTAACCGATATCCATTGCAATGCAATTATCCAATCGTTGAACTCATTGTTATTTCTTTTTTTAAATCTGTATAACAGAGAAGATATTATATGTTGCATACATGAAGCCATTATCATATCTTTCTACTTGGATATATTTACGTTATTACTTCTTCTTGCTTAATAATGTCGCAAATATATATGGATTTAGCACCAAATACAGCTAGTATATTATTTGGTCCCACAACAATCCCATGTATATTACTTGGATACAAACAATTTAATTTACTTTTTAGTTGATAAGAATTCGTATCGAACACGTAGAGCATGGATCCCATGCCTAAAATTAATAAATAATGATCATTTGCAAAGCATTCTACAAATTAATGTGATTTTAGCCTTATTTAGAATCTAACCTATAAGCACGAGATCATCTACGCATCGAACAGCGAGGACATTCGTGCGTAATAATTTCGAAATCATCTTCTCTTTAGTCCGTATTATTTTATTTCATACATAAACGCATGAAAATATGCACGAGCAATCACATCATCACCGCATCTGTCGCGAGTCACTTCGGCGCCGATTCTCTCGCGTATGATACACACGTCACGTGCGCCGCAGGAAGATTATGTTCGCGCGGATGGACGGATGTGTCAGACGTAATATGGGTTATAATTTTGGAGTGGATCTTCTTGTAAATTATGCCGTGGCATCGGTAGACGATCTTATCGGAGGCAATAGACGGAATCTACGTTTACACACGACATAGTCGGTTATTCACGTTGCTGATAAAATTCCACGACGAGCCTCGCTCGAGCGAAAGAGCATGTGGGTGTTTGGTTATGGTTCCTTGATATGGAAAGCGGACTTTCCATATGAAAAAAAACTGGTAGGCCACATCAAGGGATACGTCAGGCGCTTCTACCAGAAAAGTACCGATCACAGGGGAGTGCCTAGCAGAGTGAGTTTCCCAAAGAAAAGTGCGGACTTGTCTCGAGTTAGTTCCAATCCTTCCCAGGGATCACGCGTATTTTCGTGGTGTTCGCGATTGTATTCATGTACTTTATCCTGCTTATATAGGATGCATTGATGCTACGTAAGAACTGTTTACGCTCGAGGAAGAACGCACTGTTGTAAATTATTAATCATATCGCCTATGCCCGCGTCTAGAATCACGAAATCTTCGTTCTTCCAGCCTGGACGTGTGGTGACGTTGCTCGCCTCGAAGAATCCCGAAAACGAAGTATGGGGCCTCGCATACAAGATATCCTCCGAGAACATAGACAACGTGGTGAATCATTTGGATTTTCGAGAGAAAGGTGGCTATGAGAAGAAAACTGTCCTTTTCTATCCTTGCGATTCATCTAAGTATATTCAAAGTAGCTCGAATACCAACGTCCTGACCAACGATTCCTCCAAGACGAATCTCTTGTCGCCATCCTTGTCGTCCAGCACAGAAGAGCCACCGTTCTACCTCACTATATACATAGGTGACGAAGAGAATCCAAACTACGCCGGCACTGAGAATATACACACCATTGCGACACATATACTCGTCTCACGCGGCATCAGTGGCTCCAATACAGAATATCTTTACAAACTGGCGTCTGCAATGCGTACGATTGCACCTGGTGTACAGGATGAGCATTTATTTGCTCTGGAGAAGATTGTCAAGCAGTTGGAGAGGGAGAGGGAGAACGAGTCGCTGGAGTTGGATCAATTTCCATGTAATCGTAAAAGCATGCAATAGGCGTATTCAGATGTAGGAAAAATGCGACATTAGGAGCCAATTGCATCGTCGGTCGTCGGTCGTCATCGACGGTGGTTAATTTATTTCCTCTTTTCTGCTCACTCCCCCTCCTCTCTAGATTATGTACAATTAGGACTGTATGTAGCAAAGTGTTGTAAGGTATAATTTTAACACGAGTTTAGTGGTAGCGTTTCAGCTCAAGCTAATCAATCAAGACTATTGATGCAATTGGTGTGTAGATGAAAAGACAGAATATCTTTTGCACTGTTCAAAGCAATAACAGGAAAATTTATAAATCTTTCCATTAAAGAGAAGAATAGTTGAAGAAACGTTTCTAACAACCAGTGATGAGAAATAAATTATCTTATTTATCAACGAAATAAAAGATATTTTTGCATAAAATAGCCGCAATTTTTATTGTATGACGTGACTTGACTTAAATTCGTATCTCGCGCTATTTTTAAGTATAGTAGGTAAAACTTTATAGTTTTACTTTCACAAATTACGTAATTTACAATTTTCTCATAAAGTTTTTGTTATAATTGTCGTTTCTAGTGTTACATTTCACTTTTACGAGAGTTTATTAGAATATGTCGAATTTTTCGAAATACATCCGACTTGTTGGCAGGTTTGAAATCGCCGCCACTGGGAACTACTTTTGGGCGCGCATGCGCATCCGGCGACAATGATCAGCTGAATCGACGCAATAACAACAGCGTGGAGAGGGAGAAAAGAGGAGGCCATTTCTTATTCGACCAATTGTCAGTCCATGTAGTTCCTACGTGGTTCTGTTTTTCTTCCCGGACCGACGATCAAGACACAGGGCCAAGATTGGGTGATTCGCTGAATTGAAGGCGTTTCGGACGCATCCGGGTGAGTTTCCGTCGTAATTCCTCGCGTTTCTCACGTCGCTTCGTCAAAATGGCGATTAATCGGAAAAAACGTCGGCCTCAGAAATGTCTCTCGAACGTTTCGGTCGAGAGACTTGAGATTCATTTTATTAGCTACACCTGCACTCCCTTACGATCTTTCCCTCATCTTCGATATTTCAACACGCATTTATTTCATTTTTAACGTAAGCAAGGTGATTCAATGAAACAGCCGGCTTTCAAAGTGTCCTTGACTTCAATCGAATCCTACCATCCGCGGTCGAGCATTTAATTTGTGTTTATTTCAATGTTTGCGAGGTTAAGTCTACGCGGGTCATTGTACTTAGGCAATTATATTACATAAAGTGTTGCTGCGTTTTCTCTCGAACCTTTACATACGACGTATGAACATCTAAATCTGCTCGTTTAGATTCGTGGAAAATATAAGAATAATATATGAGAACAATGTACGGATTAATTCCGATGAAATGACGAAAATTTCAATTCATGGCAAATAAGCCTAAGTTCCTGGAAAATCTATTAAAACTTTGACAGGAGCAAACGACAGTATAACAGATAACGGGAACGTAGAGCAAATGCCACAACAATGGAACTGCGTGTTAACTATACGATCTTGCACCTTTCGCGCTTGAAAGCGGGATTGGTTCGGAAAAACGAACGTAGTATCACTGGAGCCTGTCTCGTGATTTTGAAATGGACATTTTCTCGATTATCAGTTTATCCTTATCGATTTCTATTATCCTTGCTTTCACGTTGAATCAATAAAACTACAAAACACGCCATGTCTAAGAACGAGGAAATGAAACGCAGAAAGTGTGTGTGTAAACAACAAGTCCGTTATATTTCCGCGACGCAATTCGAAATTCGAGAGAGAGAGAGAGAGAGAGTGCGAGCGTGCGAGTGAGAAAGACTGATAGGAGGGAAAGAGAAGGGAATATGACGAGGAGAGAAAGGAAGGAGGAGCTACGTGCGTAAACACACGATCCACATAACTCGATGACTGGCATCAAGTTAAAAATATCACTCGAGGACGTGACAAGACTCGTCTTTTTGTAACTTGTTATTTTTGCCATTAATTTTCGTGTTTCCCCTCTCCACGATTTCTGCATTTCGATTGACGCTGAATTCAGCAATATTTATTTATGTGCGTTCATGGACATAACGCTTGCCCGCGAGATGTGAATCGCGAGTCTCTTTCCGATAATACAATTTATAGTCATCCTTCCTCCGATAATTGCGAAACGAACCATCGTAACGGTGTCACACAGTGTCAACGATCATCGTGCGTGTCCTCTCGCATAGTTTTCTAATTATATTTTACCGTTATATAACTATTATGCGTTCTCATAGACACATTGGGTGTAACTATCATTAACGCGATTGTCGTCATTTCGTCGGATAATTAACGCTTTGTAATCTCTAATGGGAATTTCCGTTTTGTTCCGACTAACTTTATCGCTGCTCGAAATTTGCGCGAATCAATTATCCGCTGTTACGCGTTTATGGATGTTAAAATTTGCAAGCACGTCGCGCTGTGAAATTATCTGCACGAACTACATTACCGGGCTGTTATAAACCGATATATGTGTACGTGGTATGTGTGTGTAAATCACTTTGCGGGAGAATAATTTTCGAAGCTACGGGATTCGGTAGTTACCAGCTTGGTTTAGCTGTGTTACGTCTTTCCGACATGTGTAACATGCGAAGATCGATAAACATTTGTGTTGGCCCACGCGAGTGCGTTGAACTCTTGCGCGATGCACACGATGAGATGACGTAACCTTTAACCTTAAGCGACGCAAAGTACTTGGGCAAAGCGAGCATAATATTGCGTTTGTCACAGAAATGGAAAAACAAGACTGATTGCGAAATCAAATTGCGCATAGCATATCAATTTTTTGCATTTTGCGACAGTTCGATATATTTTACATGTATTTGCTTCCAAAAGTTTTTACACAATCGTTACAGAATTCGTACATAATGACGTCGTTTTTCTTATGCGATGCTCTGGGATGCTCTGGATGGCCGTTTTATCTACGACGTATAAAAGAAATACGAGCTTTGAGTATCGCGTCTCTCTCCTCTTTCTCTTTCTGTTCATCGTTGAATTACACGTTTCAAAATGTCACGTGAATTTCGTGAATGATCTGTGTTTACTCGGCACGATAAAGAAATTCCATCAAGTTTCGGTACCAAGTATGTGAAGTGCGACACAAGTCCTGAACTAAACTATGATTGATATAGTCCGAATCTTATATTTAAGATTATTTTAAAAGTTTATCTTCAGATACTTCGTAGCCAATAAAACATATAGCATTTAAAAATGAACTGAAACAATCTTACGCATAAGATTCAACTATGAACTTCACTCTATAAGTTGGTTTTTAATTCGTGGTTAAGGCCATCACACACAAAATTCCGTAAGAACTTAAAACGTAAGCGTAAAGAAATCGACCAATCCCAATCGAGCACTCGGCTCTTCGTAACCCCTTCATTATTACGAAGAGCCGAATATTCGATTGGGATTGGTCGATTTCCTTACGCTTACGATTTAAGTTCTTACGGAATTTTGTATGTGATGGCCTTTAATGTTAAGGCTAATATCACCATAATAATGGCATTTAGTCATGATTCGTGCATCGATTGCATCATCTTTCATTTTCGCGGTCATGACGAAACTATGACACTAACATATTCAAAATGGAGGCAAATTAATGTAATATTATGTATTATTGGGTTATTTTATTTTGTTTCGAACGATTTATCCTCACAAAAGGCGTGTCAATAGTGGCTTTCGATTGAAACTCTGTTTTATGGTCGAGAACGTATCGGTCGAAACTGGAGAAACTAACATTGATGCCTTCTGTGCATCGACACAATCAGTCGATGCACATTAACACATTCAGGACCAACCTTTCCAACTTCTTTGTAAGCTAAATAACAATTAAATCATGTTTCTGTTTTCGTTTTTCCTTCATGTTAGAGACAGACATATGATTTAACCGAATAGCTTACCAAAAAAATCGGTCCTAAATGATGTGCGAGTCAGCGATAATCGACACTAGGATATTACCATATCCCATAAAGAAATTCGCATTAATTTATGATTAATTACATTTAACAAGCCGATCGTACGGTCAACAGAGAGCCAATGAAACGAGCTGATATCGTTGATGTTAATTCGCGGTAACACGTTACCTAAACCTCGAGGCTATCAATCAAGACGATTGATTAAATCAAAATCGTTGCATGACGCAAGCTCACTCGCTCGCTCGAATAACTCGCACTGTTCGCGACTGTTCCAGCAGCATCTAGCAATTTCCACGATGGAAACGGTCGTATTCTAACCTCGCGCAAACGCGGGGCCAACCGTTCGCAACTTTCGGTTCTAGCGAGCTCGGCGAGCTTCGTGCGCGCTCGGCTGCCTTCGGCGCAGCGGCCGTTGCTCGCGTCGGCCATGCTATAAGCGGCGTACTTCACGAAGTCTCAAATCAGTTGCACTTTGACAAGCGGGGAATTTGGTTTCGCGTTCGCGCGCGTCTCTGCTTTTCGCGGAGATCTCCGATGTAACAAGTGCTGACATTTTTTGGTTGTCCCGCGGAACGAAAACTATCCGATTCGACGACGGCACATATCTGCGCGGGCAAACTGACCGTTAAATTGACGCGCGACGCATCGCATATCACACACACATGCGCGTACACACACACTTAACCGCGACAAAGAACATTCCCGCCGAGTAACCCTTTCGGGAATTCAATGTATCGTATATGTATACAGTAAGCTAAACGCAAACTATACGGACATTCCCCAAGGAAGAAGAGAGAGAAAAGAACCGACGCAACTTTTGAGACTGACATAGAATCTAGGAATACAACGTATTTGTAAACACGCGCGAGCGTCTTTTTTTTTTATACTCAACGGTCTGTCGATGCGCGAAAGTGTCATCCGCAACGGATGATTTTGACAGTTCTCGCTTGTTACATCAGCCGAGAACTCGTCGTCAGTGCCTTAATCAGCGCGACATACATACGCACATCGTCACGCATACATCGCCGTCTTTGTTCGACTACGTTGGACGCTCGAGGCCACGTACTTCTGTGATATATACGACACGGCTGTTTTCTCTCCCCCTTTTTCCCAGCATGTAAGTAGTTTATCTCACATTTACGCGCTCTCATGGGAAACAGAATCGCGGAAAATGTTGCTACGCTTTCCCGCCGACAAGCCCGCGACTCAATAGCCGTGGCTTAATTGCATGTACTCTAATCTCATTATTCCGTTTTCGCGTGGGAAAGATATTGTGCTAGACACGCCGTGTTCGTTATCATTACAAGGAGGTGGATCGCGCGCACGCATGAGATCTCACCTATGGTCTGCGCTACCGAACTGGTGCAATAAGTTAAAGTGAGACAAGTATATTTTTTCTCACTCTAACTTATTGCACCAGTTCAGCAGTGCAGCTGAAAAGAACAGACTACTAAATACACGATCGTCGGAGGATAACGTTTTGATTCATGAGATTGCAATGTCTTTCGCAAAGGATGTTAATCTATAAAATATGTTTTTTTCTTGTTTTTTTCCATTAATTCATACTCTAGTCTGTTTGATAATTTTTATTTGCTCCGAAAGCCGGAGAAACCGTTCCGGATCATAGAATTCGGTACGACTCACTTCCTGTAAAGCTTAACACTCTCGTCATGATCGATGTTACGAGATATTCGATAAAGTCGCGATAACGATATACAGCGAGTCCTTCCTTTCTCTTTTTTTCACGGCTTCTTATTAACCATTTTCATAGAATTCGCGCGCTTGCGTTTCTTCAAGTCGAGAACCTTCGGTTTACGCCGAACTCTAGAAGCTGGGGGTCAAACCACGATAACCAGATAACAATAATACACCTGACGCATTGAATAAGACACTACTTCTCGTCTCGTGAGAAAACCTTTTTAGTTCTTTTAATGACAACACCGACGTGGATTTGCTAAAGTCAAAACACGAGCAGGTATCGAAGAAAAGGATAAGTGAAATTAGTATAAGAATTCAAGTGGATCTCGCGTTTATCGTGCTTTGTGAGCGAGTATACACTCCTTACATTCGAAAATGTCTCGTTGTATATCGATAATGTTGTTTTACACTTCACTTTCTAAGTATCTTGCTGTGGCATTGTCCGGTATCGTTATGCGACTCGCTTTCTTTATTAACGTCTTTTGCAATATATATATTTTTTTTCTCCAAGATGTTATTACAAAAACCGAAGACGCCTGCGTAGATTTTGCGTTTTCACGAGAGAAGATAGCTCGATGTTGCATCAGAATGTGCGTATGCACACTCGCGCATTGGTGAAAACACTTTCGCGAAGATGTGCGCTTTCGCGAGTCCAAGGACGCGATGGAGCTGTATCGCAAAAAATATTCCGTGTCCAATTCGGGAATGCGATTTGCTTTAAAAGCACAGAAAAAGAAATTAGTTGGATTAATCAGATGTCTGGTGAAATATGACCGAACCGGAAATTCCGGTTGAAGGTATCAGAATTTTGTTTCAATTAATCAGAAAATTTTTGTTTGGTTAACCAGTATAACAAAATTCTGGTAATTTCAATCGTAACTTCGTGTACTTTTATATTTCAGCAGAAATTTTGTTAATCCGACCAACTTTTTTTCCCAAGTGATATGTGTTTCGAAGAGGCAATTCTTTACGACACCACGACAATTCCTTGCATCAGTCTCTTTTGGCGAAACTTTGAATGTCTTAATCTTCTGGATCAGTCTCCAGTGTCCCGTGATTTGAAGACGTTGCTTGACCAACTAATTCCCGACGTTAAACCATTGCTTGACGCTTTAGTAAAGAAATAATACAAATCTATTCAATAATTCTCGATCTAAATTGATAAACTATTCTATCGGCGTGATCGGTTCGATAGATCTCGATGGATCGTGGCAGAGGCGAATCACTTGCTTTTCTCCAAATCATCAATTGTCTTTTTTTTCATAATTACTTCGTCAGAGGTTGAATTAAATAATCTCGGTACTTAAAGAAAATTGCGCTTCTTCGTGCGAGTAATCTCTCGCCTCGCTGTTTTGCTTAAAACGAAGGAGGATCTCGATATCGTCAATCGAGCTCAATACGTTTAAGATATTTTTTCCGTCTTTTTTGATGAGAACTTCCAGAGTCGCGCCCGAGCATTGACGTCCATCATGATATCAGATAAGAAATGATACTTGACGCCCTTGTTTACCTGGCGACTTAATCACTATCTTTGTTTTCGATTTCGCGGGGTTGAAAATTCCGACGGTAGACAAACATCTCACCTTTCCTTTGCCAAGCGGATACGCTTATCGTCGTCAAATTGGCCAATTGATACGTTGATTTCGGAGATGACGCCTTCAACTTTGTTCTAGCAACTGGCACGTTATCTTTCATTGTTGTATCGATTGAGTCTAACCCCGCTTTTGTATATTTTTTTACGCATTTACAACGTTGACGTTTATAATTCTGTATCACCACCGCGGCTAAATGTAGTAACGACCGGTCGGACAAGTGACGCGTTAATTTTCGATGAAACTTTGGGCGCGATCCATTAGACGCAACGAATGTTTTGAAGCGCAGTATAGACCAATTATGACTTCTTTTTAAATACTTCAAAGCGTTTGCAGCGTCTGATGGATTGTATCCTTTGTTTTCACTTAAAGCAGCTATTTGCAAAACGGACGGCATTCGCTCGATATCGTCAAGCCGGATGAGGGAAGGGAAGGGCAGTGCGTTCGATCACCACGTGTCATTTCACATGAAATGTCATAAAATAAAAATGGCAGTATGGAAAACGTCATAAAAATGTTAGCAGCGAACCGTAGTATCGAGATCGGGGATTTGTCGTATCGAAATGTTTCTCACGGCAAAATCTCATTTGTCCCGAAGAGACTTTTGGCTTTATCAGTGCTTATTCTTCCACGAAGCGGATAGTCCTGGCGGACTAATTTGCGACGTAGCCTTCGTCCTCTCGCTTTCCAAGCGTGCTTTAATTTTGGCCGTGATGCTGATCCCCTTCTTCGTCTCCCTTTTTCTTTCTCTTCCTCCCCCTCTCTCGTTGTTTTTCATCTCGATCGTCTCCGTTCTTACGTTTTGTTGCATCTCATCGAAGTACGACAAAAGAGCGCATCCTTGAAACAGGTTTCCTCGTGCAATGCGGGCCACGCGCCGGCACGTAGAGTTTCTCCTTTGTCGTCCGCCACGAGTTGCAGAAAAGAAACCACTGGAAAAATAAGAAGAAAGAGACAAATAAAAAGGCGCCGGCCTTGCATAATCGCGAGTCCGGTCACGCGTGACACGGCTATTTCAGTGACGTGGGCGTGAGCGGCGGAGATCTTCGCGTATAACGTCAAATCGCAATGCGTGTACACGGGAATCTGAATTAAGGATAGATAAGATAAAGAAATGTAACTCGAGTATACACTTCGTTTCACTGACTCTCTGCTGGCCGTACAAGCAACTTTTTTTTAGATAACTTAATTATATTTTAATTGTACATTACCGTAGTTACATACGTAACTCAATGAGACGCGATGGTATAGCAGTCATCGGTGATCGTCACGGTATTAAGTGTATTCTCGCAAATCGTTGAACGTTCTCTGTAAACACAATACTTGGGTGGGACAATGTCACTTGTCAGTAGCATATAATCTCCCTTCCTCGTAGAGATATCCAATAGTGGACGCGCGAAACTTATCTCGAATGGGATTTTCGCTGTTTACAGATACAAGGCTAGCCAGCTGCGCCATTCTTGTTGTGTGACTCCTCATCAGCCACACTACACATCCCCTGGTGTTCATATTGTAGCTGGGCCGTTGTTGTAGTTAGCTGTTGGTATCACACACTGCAGGAATGGACACATCGGGCTTGCCTGTACCGGATGCAATCCACCCGCTGCTCGAACAACTGCATGAGGCCCTGTTGCTGGAGGTTAAATATCAGCCCAATCTCCACCAATTACCTACTACGACGCAGGTAAGAGTTGGAGAGGCCCTTCTGTATTCAAGTCCCTTTTTACGAAAAATTATCGTGAAATTTCACGGTAACGTGTTTCGATGAAGCGACTTTGTTATTAAAATTCGGAGCTACCTATGTTGTTGTAATAGTTAAATGAAACCAAATTGATAGTAAAATGTTTAAAATATTGGATAGCCAAACCAACATTAAGATTCTTTTTTAGTATGGTACCCTTAACTTGGACGTTTGATAGCTTTAACAGGTTATATTTAGTTACTTATTAATAACACTAAATAGTTATTTAATGACTAAGCGGTGTTTACATGTTGCAGAATGATGAGATAACCATCGGTGCCCGGGACGGATCTGCTCATGTGTTAAGATGCCTGAAAGTGTGGTACGACTTATCATCGGACGTGTTCTTCATGGCCATCAATCTGATGGATCGCTTTCTGAGCAAGATGAAGGCGAAGCCAAAGCACATGGCCTGCATCAGCGTGTCCGCATTTCATATTGCCGCCGTCCAAATGGCGCAGTCTCTGGACGCCGATCACTTGGTCTCAATCTCCCAGTGCAAGTGCACCGGCGGCGACCTGAAACGCATGTCGGAACTGATACAAAACAAACTGGAATGGGCTCCCGGCACTCAGCCCATCACCACGCTGACTTTCCTGCGTTTGTTCAACGACATGTTCCACACGGTAGCGTCGCAGCTGGGCCTCGGTGATATATACGCCAATATTGTCACGGTGAGTCACCGTTCTATTAAATACTTATCGGATCTTTTGTCAGTATTAGAAACGTGTCTCTGCTAAAGCTAATTAAATCTGTTTAATTTTCTAGCATACATCGAGTACAAATTCATTATGTTTAGAACGTTTGCAGCATTATTTAAATCGCGTGTTTACGACCTTTGTTTTGTTTTTTCAGGAATTCGAGCTGCTCCTCCGATTGGAAATGGTCGTTTGCGACGGTAATTGTGCGAGTCTCAGGCCGTCCGAAGTGGCTTTGGTGCTACTCTGCACCTATTTGGATGCGGCAGTCAAGCGATTGGACGCGAACACAGATGCCACTACGACACCGATCGACAATTCATCCTCACACAATACATCCGCTACGCAGGACCAGATAGTACGACTCGTGCAGTTCGCCGCGGAGCTCAAGAAAATATGCAAAGTAATTTCCGTCAATGTCTTTCTTTATTTTTTAAAGTTATTATTTAACTTATATCTGCGCGTGGATAAAAAATTAGATGTTTTCATCGCTATTGCCATTTGTTGTTCAGATATGTCAATGTTAATTGTCATTCGTAGTAAAATATTGCGTATATAAATGAACAAGTTTATGAGTCGAATTTAAATTTGATCAAGTCTCGAGTCTTACATTTGCTCCATATTTCAGATTTCAGATGAGAGTTTCTTGTCCACTTACGAGGCGGTGGGCGCTATACTGAGCAAGTATAACGCTCAAGAGCAAACACCTCACAGACAAAGGCTAGTCTGGAGACTGTCGTCGCGCACGGCGCGTATTTTACGCCCGACTGATAAATTAACATCCGTGTTGCCGGCCATCGCGGAACATGCTCCGGTTCCTTCTCCGAGCAGAATCAGGTATCAGTTGTTACTCAGTTATTATCATTCGAAAAGAACTGTGTTACATTTACAATCGCGTAACATAAAATCTTATTCTTTTCTAAGGAAAAGCCGTAAGTTTACTCGACGTCATGGGAATAAGAGACGTTAATCTGTGACACCGTCTTATTATTCTGAGGTATGATCGCAGCTTTTGTGAATTGTTTTATTAATATTTTTATTTGAAACATTTATTTTACACAGAATATAACAAATTCTCGCTTTTCCTCTACTGACTCTTTGTTCTGCTTTCAGGACACGGCACTAGCAGTTGAATGTTCATCTGACACAGCGAGCAAAAGCAAGATTCGTTTTCTCCTCCAGTACAAAGATCAAAGTTTGGCTCGAGAGTACAAACATCGATTCACACATCTCGCATAATTGATTTCTCTCAGATATTTCGTTTGTCGCCTGCTGAGATATACATACTGGCGAAATGTAAGTCCATTATCTCACTGCGTTAATCTCAGCTCATGTTCTCATCGCATCACACACATAAACACACAATTCACATATTTTAAAGTATTCGCGCGTACCTTTCAATATTTTATTAAGAGAAGACAAGATTTTTAAACCCCGTTCCGGCGGTAAGATCGAATATACTACTAAGTGAGGAGAGAGGAAAATAAGCGCTGTGAGAAATGAAAGAATCAGCTGTAAAATCACCAATCGAGAAACATTGAAATTAATGTGATACAATGTCCATTATAGTTAGCATACCTGGTAGTGTAACACAGCTGAAGGTATATATCTATATATTTGCAAAATGCGTTAAACGAGAAAAAAAATATAAAAGAAGAAATATGAATAAAAAGAAAAATTGCGAAAGTGTTAAGAGACGTATAATGGAAAAGCAGTTAAAAAATATATATGTATAAATATATATATATTATAAAGATAAGTGGGTTGAATATACGAACGAGAGTTGCTAACTTGCGTTTGCTAGCTTCGTCGAAATGGAAAAAAAGGAAAAAAAGAAAGATAATGTTTTATTGAGTTCTTAAAGAATATGCACTTATCTTCTATAATTGCGCGCATTTACCGATTGAAGTGCGTGGCCGACGTGATAAATATATAGATTGGATGTTACAGCGAGCGAATTTCTCGATACGCATGTTTGAGATAAGTAACGAATGTGACGACCAGACAAGATTCATTCAAAAACGTTTCGAGATGTTCAAATATGTAACTCGGAGTGTTCGAGGCGAATTCTGCTGTAAAACTTTATGCGTAAGGAAGAACTATCTTGTTTCTAGTCTTCTTCACTGGAGTCTGTACGAAATTGACTTGCACACTCTGGGACTAGTTGAAAAATGAAGTTCTCATTATATCTCGAAAGTTTACGATTATATGGCATACTTGCGTCACAATGAAATGAACGGTAACTTGCTCATAGCGCGAGAGTGTCAAGGAAACGCGCGCAATAAGAATACTCCGATCTGTCTCCGTTTATTCGGTAAAGATCCTCGCTATTCCGAAATGCGAGATGCGAATACGTGTGATTAACATAAGGGGCCTGTGAGGATGTACGCGTCGTCAAACGACACGTTCGCGAGCAATTTGCTCGATAAAAAAGAAAGCAAAAACGTTGAATTTTTTTAGATCGTTTATCCGTATTTTACATTTATTCCTCTCGTCGACTTGTGTCACGCATCAAAACGATGTATCAGGAATCGAATATCTTGAGAAACGATGTATCTTGAATGGAAAGGAAAGGAAAAGAGGAAAGCGACTGCGATTCGAGTGATTCTCTTTTTCGATCTTAGCCAGTTCACGCTAGTCATAAGTCGTACCGTACTTTCATCTGATCATGATCTGCAGAAATACATTCTCTTTTTGTCCCGTGACAACCTACATCAATACATATGAAGCAAATTTATTCCACGAAGCTTCTTTTCTTTCAGTCTCTTTCTCTCTATATTTTTTCTGTAATGATGCACCACGCACTACGTCTTTTCACGACCTGGAAACAAACTGAGAGATGCTCTCTGAGCGTAATGCGTTCGAATAAGAACGAGATTATTTGTCTCAAGACGACACCGGTGCCGGAGCGAGGGGCGGGAGAAGACAACTCTTTTGCAACTGCGGTGTAACCATTTACATTACATTTGATAAGACTGCAAGAGCGAGACGCAAAGAGCTCGGGTTCATTAACGCTGTGCGTTTGAACGAGGTGTAGCATCGTACAAAGTGTCTTCTTTCCGCGATAAAAGAAAGTTATTTTATGCTAATATTGTTTTCGATATGTCACGTATTACGCAAGTAACCATTTTCTTAAATTATTTCAAAGAGCATACATCTTTGCTCGCCAGTATTATATGTTATGTGTTTGAAGAACAATTTCGATTCTCTTTTTAGTGTATTTTATTTCTTATTATTTTATTATGATGTTTCCAATGTTTGCATTATAGTCGTACAAACTGGTCACTGAGAAATTTGTTGTTGATATTTATGAATGTCACGTTTCTTTGCGTAGAGTTGTATGTCGTGTTTCTTAATGTAAAAAACACGCAGGAAATACGCAACGGCGTATTTGTATTTTACAAATTGCTATCTGCGAGATTTTTATCTTTTCGAAATGATATTTGTCTCGTCACTTTAACTTATTTCTCCCTTATTATTTTTTCAGTGCATACCTAGTGTAGCACATACTCATATGATCGATGGAATGTTCTGAATGGTGAAGTTCTGTAATACGATATTTGCTAGGATTCACGTTATCGCATTACTGTTGATATGATAATAGATGAATCGATAAACATTGTAATACGTCTACGAGATATCATGTATCACAAAATATCATTCACTCTCTTTCTCATCGTATAATAATAATCGTGTAAACAAGAGCGAATACAGATGCTTTTTATCTGTATTTCGCGTGACTCTAATTGTGTAGACTGTGTACAAAAAAAGAGTAAGAAATTCGTAACCATCGATTGATCCCCCCCTCCCTTTAAAAAAAGGAAAAGGAAAGCAAATGTAAATCCCGAAAGTGATTTAAATTTTAGTACAACTTTACTTTGTAATTCTCTCAATACTCAGATTATAATTGCGTATATTTATATAAAATGTTTACGATAAGTAGGATAACAAAATGAGCTGACGCTACTTTAGGATTTTCGAATGGTTTCTTCTGCGATATTGGAAAACTAGGGACTAAAGTGATGATAATCACGAAGAGAATCGTTTATAATATGAGAAATCATAATTTATTGTATTTAAAAGATGTGGCAGAGATGTGTAAGAACAGAAAGAGGAAGCTGCGCCTCGCGTATGTGCTGTTACTCTATATCATGATGATTGAATTTGTAATGCACAAAGTCCGTTTATAATAAAATTATGGAAGGATATTTGCAGTGAGCGACCAACATTTTTCTTTGATTTATGACAATCTTCATCTTCATATATGTATGTATATGTGTATTTTTTCTTTTATCACATATTCGTATGATACCATAAAGAAGCGATCTGACGACTTAGTGTAGATTTTATACTTACAGTTGTGTCGATAATTGTCAGGAAGGAGCTTCAGAATACGCTGCTTACCCATTAAGTACAGCGAAAGTTGCCAACAGATGGTCTGTTCTTTTCAGATGTACTGCTGAACTGGTGTAATAAGTTAGAGTGAGAAAACATATATTTATCTCACTTTAACTTATTGCACCAATTCAGCGGTGCAGCTGAAAAGAACAGACCACGAATATACTGTCGTTATCGTTGGTGTAGCCGCCATTTTGTCATCGAGCTGCGTACGATGCTCTGCTGTGGTGTGTATTGCTTTGTGAATTTCAATAGCCGTTTTGAGCAAGTTAATGCTGAAATAATTTAGTATTTCAAACATCGGGGCGTAGATTATGGCGGAGTATTTGGCATCAATCTTCGGAACCGAGAAAGACAAGTAAGGAAAACTGCTTTACTGACTTGTATTTACGGATAGCAGAGAAAGCTTTACCGGCTATTGTTGATCTTTTTTCATATTTTAGAGTAAATTGCTCTTTCTACTTTAAAATCGGTGCTTGCCGACACGGTGACAGGTGTTCGCGTATTCACAACAAACCTACATTTAGCCAGGTATGTACAGATCTTTACAAGAATCAAAACGCTTTAACTTAACCTAACTTAGTGTTCGTGCCGACCTTAAATATTCTCGAGGAAGGCTGAGACACGGTGGAACGACCAAAGTATAAAAAAAAAAAAAAAAGGAAATGTATGCCGATAGAATTACAAAGAATTAAGCTATTTGATCATATCCTGTGTATCTAAATAATTTATAATTTTATTTTTCAGACATGTTTACTTCAAAATTTATATGTAAATCCTCAGAATTCTGCCAAGAGTGCAGATGGCTCTCACTGTAAGTTTTATTTGTAATTTTGTAATTGTAACTCAGTTTACGAATATTTGAAACAATGATGTAAATTACTTTGTTGACAGTGGTTGCAAATGTATCGGATGAAGAAATGCAAGAGCATTATGACAATTTCTTTGAGGATGTTTTTGTTGAATGTGAGGACAAGTACGGTGAGATCGAAGAGATGAATGTGTGCGACAATCTGGGAGATCATTTGGTAGGCAATGTATACATAAAATTTCGAAGAGAAGAAGACGCAGAGAGAGCTGTGAATGATTTGAATAATCGTTGGTTTGGTGGTCGTCCAGTTTATGCTGAACTGTCTCCAGTCACAGATTTCAGAGAGGCATGCTGCCGACAATATGAAATGGGGTAATGAACTTTCCATTTGTACAGTTATTCTATTTTTACAAGTAAATTTCTCACAAGCTTTTCTTCTTTTAGTGAATGTACACGATCTGGATTTTGCAATTTTATGCATCTGAAGCCTATCTCGCGCGAACTGCGTCGTTATTTGTACAGTCGCAAGAAGGGCGGTCGAGGACGATCAAGGTCTCGTTCACGATCACGAGGCAGAGATCGCAAACGCAGATCACGATCGCGCGACAGACGATCGAGGTCCAAGGACCGCCGAAAGAGAGATGACAAAGGTAGAGACGGTAGGTCCGGAAGATACTAATTATTGGGAAATAATGATTGCGTTTATACGAATGTTTGCTGCGAGACCTTAATTTGAGCACCATCATCTTATTCAGCTATGGAATATGAATTGGTTTTACAAATGTATACATGTAATACAAACCAGCATCTTTCTTTAGTAATAGTTAAAACTGGTTAGTCAAAACAATTCACTATCTTGGAATAATGTGTTTCTTATATCATTTCATTTCAATTTGTTGAATATTGTAACTATGATATATTGACTTTTACGTTGCAATAATGAAGTAATGAATACGACCATCTTCGAAAGAAATAAAGAGTTTATAAAACAACTAAACATATGCATATATCTTGTATGTGCGATCAAATGACGGAAATAAATAAAATGTGTAAGTATAGAAATATATATATTTCGTTTCGCATTTAATTCTCATATAAACGATCGAACTTAAATATATCGTGAAAAACGATGCGCACACAGCGTTATATATTTATATATATATATGTATGGTGAAAGACGTACTCGTGTATATTTTATATATATATATATATATATATATATATATATATATATATATATATATATATATATATAAAATACACACACATGCCTTCTGCAGATTACACTTGTGTCTTCGGTGAGGAGAATTTTTTTTAATCGTATCATATCGATATTTCGACTTTCTTTCAAAAAGTAAGTAATGATAATATGTTTTCTTTAAACTCGTGGAAATATACCAATTTTTATTTCAAAGTGGAAGTTACGTCGTAATGAAATCTAATGTACTAAGTTATTTTTTTTGTTTCCTCACAAATATCCACAACATAGTCCGCTCGATATATTAGGCGCCGATACATCAGGACGTAATTTAAGTTGTACGTATCGTAGTCGCGTGAGAGAGAGAGAGAGAGAGAGAGAGAGACAAGGATAATTCTATCAGTGAGAAATGTTGAAAGGGAATAAATGAATAGAAACGAAAATTTACTAGTGGCAAGGAGCATGTCAAGCTAGCGCGTAAACAATTAAAAAGAAATCAATTTTTTATCTTTTTTTCATTTTACAAAATGATAATGGATTGTACAAGTTAATATCGTTGATTTACAGCTGTAAGTTATAGCTGCTTAAATAAAAGTTTCATGAAAGATAATATGCTTTACAAGATTTTTTAAATAAATTACCCAAAATTTTTGCGCGTCTCTAATTTATGAGTCGTGAGTCAGTATACACATATATAATCGAATCTGATAGTTGAATGTGTATGCCACCGCTGGTAGTAAGAAATTATGATATGCGGATAATAATGATACGTACATGAATACGTAATGATACGTATGATGAAAAAGATATAAAGAGAGATAGAGATAGAGATGCACGCAATAACCGCTACGTAAGATATATTTATCTATATAGCTATTGCTTCTCTTAGTCGAAATTTCAAAGTATCATTAAAGTCATTAAGTCGTCTGATATCAACTGCATATTGCACAATGCAATATGCATTCCACGATGTATGCAACATCACATTTACATATTTGTATAGTGCTGACGCTTTCTTTTTAATTTTTTTCAAGATACACGTCATAGTCGTTTTTAAGTTCCATTAAAATAAAAAATAACTCAATTATTATATTATATAATTCATGAATCATTATATGATAAGTCACATTATGAGTCATCCTTGAACATCGTCCTTGTAACAATAATCGTACACGCCTCAATTCTTTCATCTTTTTTTTTTAAATAACTATTAACAAATTTCTATAGCATTACAGTGTAAAAGTCATCAAACGTTACTAAGATGGTACAATTGAATCCGACGGAAAAGAGACGTATCTCTGTGATTTATTCTCATTTGAATTTCTCCAAAATATACTGTATACAATATTTTACTTTTACTTATAAATATATACAGTCGAGTGTGAGTGTATGTATGTGTATCAGCGTATGTGTGTGTATATGTATCTGTTACACGAGCACACTAGACTTCATTCGTTTCTTTTTGTCTTTATTCACACGACACGAGATTGAGCAGTGCGCCATAGTCTAGCTTGCTACTTTTATCTTAAAAAGTACGCTATATTTTTTTTCTTTTTTTCCTTTTTTTACCCGTGTAACTATTTGCTTTCTCATCTTGCGACTGTATAGTCTTGATGTTTCAAATATCTTGAATCTAAGCACAGAGGTATTATTCGATTAATTAACTCATCTTCTTCAGATAGTTTATAACTTTAGTAACCTCTTTTTCATTTCTTTTTCTTCTCGCTCTTCACCTCTTCGTAGTTTTTCTTCTTGTGATTTTCTGTACTGTCTTGTCCTCTTCCTCCTCTTCCCTTCCTCTTCTTCCTTCTCTTCCTCCCATTGCTACCCGCATGTCACTTGCCACGTTGTGAAAATATTTACATGGTCTGGATTAATAATTAATGATTGCGGTATGATTTAGTAACTGGATACGCGAGATCAATGTTTAGGGGGGCTAATCGGCGTAGACAATAAACTGTTGATTGTCCACATCTGCAACTTCAACTTGGACAAACTGAGGCTGTTGAAGTTGGATCTGTTGCACTTGTCTCCCTATCGCGTTTCGTGACCTGAAATCATATAATAAGAAAGATTATTCAACCGTGATATGTCTACTCGACAGTTCATCCGGTATATTTCTTTAGTGTTACACCTCTCTTTTTTATCAATACAACAGTTCTTACGCAGAATTTTGTTGTTCTTATATGTATCGAGAATGTTTTCTTCTAATTTTATTAGCGCGCATTACTTGCTTTTAATTTTAGCGAAGAAAAAAATATGAGCGTACTTACTTAGCCTTGGCATGTGTCAATATATGTGACTTGAGGTTTGTCGATTGCGCAAACTTTTTGCTGCATCCGTCAAATGGACACACGTACGGCCGGTCGCCGGTATGGATTCTAACGTGAGTGCGTAGGTTGAAGTCTAGGCTGAACCTCTTGCCACAGCCTTCGAATGTACACTGAAAAGGCTTTTCGCCCGTGTGCACCAACTGATGCCTTTTGAGCTTGGAACTTTCGACGAACGCCTTACCACACTCAGCGCAAACATGTACACGAGGCCCATGAGTGTGTAGATGCTTGCGCATAGCGCTGTTATCTCGGAACATTTTCGTGCAACCTTTGTGCGGACAAGCGATGGTACGTTCCACACCGTCCATGACCGGCGGCTTGCGCACCTTCAGCTTGTGGCCGGGGCGCGCAAATTCCGCCAGCTGTTTCGGATCTGACAGATCCAATCCGGGCATCCCATCCGAGACAGAGCTACCAGAGTGACTGAACTTGGCATTGGACTTGCCGCTCATATATTCCGCATACTCTGTATCTGGTTCTGGATTCGATCCCTCATCTGAAACAGGCAGCTGAATCAGATTTCGTGGTAATATGTAATGCAGCGTTTTGTCTCCTTAAACCAAGCTTTGATAATGGTGAGATAATTGGCTATAGTTATGCAAAAATGATCCAACCCACAAGATTGTGATTTTTGAGGTTTTTAACAATGGTAGTCCATATATACCTTTCTACATAAAATGAAAGAGGTAAATGGAAAAGCCTTACTAGTTGCGCCATTTTTTACTAATTACGTATTTTCTAGCAATTTTTTAAGAGTTAAGCTTGGATACTCTTAAAGAGAAGAAAATTGACCATACTTGACTTCTTGAACGACCAAACCTCAGTCTATACTTTTTCAATTATATATCAGTTTTCATTTTTCTCAAAACATGGATTATTCTTGCATAATTATGGCCAATTGTCTGAGAATAAAGCTATATTGAGAAAGAAATATTTGAAATTTATTTGTGAGATATAAAGTTGATTTCTGTGGAATAAATCTTATATCACACAAGTAAATTTTCAAGTATTTTTTCCTCCCAGTGCATTTTCTTCCAAAATTTTTACTTACTCAGCTCTTGCTATGCAATTTAATTGTGCATTTACAAGCAGCTTTTTGCTTTCTTTTTGACAGATATTAATGTCTCAAACTCTTCTCAATTATTATGAATTCCACAAGTCTAATAATATTTATATATTATTTTAATATAAAAACATTTTAAATGCACTTTATAAAATCATACAATTTCTATATATCTATATTATCTAAATTTTACAATGTACAAACTTGGGGAGAGTGTACTTTTATACTATAATACATGAAAAACTTGTTGGAAAAATCCTAGGATATTACAATTATTCACAAAATGACAATATACTATAATATCAAATGATTATCAAGGCGTTTCGGATTAGTACACTCTGTATATACATATACTCGTGAAGCAGCATAGAGTAGAGTGACGTCAGAAGCAGAAGCGTTGCTTTCACAATGTTCCGCTTCGACTTCCTCTCTCTCAGACGTTCTTCGAGCTGTCGAAATCCACAGCATCTTTCTCATTGGGAGTCAACGCGCGCTCGCTCTCTCTTTCTCTCTGAAGAGAAAGAAACAATTCATAGACAACATGCCGCGACGACGACGTCCACAGTCCCAACGGAGAGTAATCCGAGGCGACGTGACGTCGCCGCCGTTCGCTCATCCGTCGCCACACCGCCATTGCTCGGAGCGACGGGCGGGCGATCCGCTACGTAAAAGAGGCCATTTTCAAAATATGGCTGCCCCCGTGGCTAGCGTAATGGCGTTCACGCGATCAAAACAAACAACGCGGCCTGTCAAGCCGGTCGACACGCCGATTTGGTCCCTCGTAGCCGATTTTCCGCGAGAGGATCGCGCGCGCGGCACGCGACGCCGTATCGATCAGGGCATCGTACCGGAAGTGCGTACCCACCCGTATGTGTGCGTGTGTGGTGTATAACGATGACGAGACAACGAGAAACTATGCAGGAATGAGCGAACGGCGACGAATCGTCGAGCGACTCGCGAACGAACGGAACAGCCGGAAATGCCGATTTCGGACGTTACAGTAGCTCACGTCGGAGACTCACCGTCGTCTGTGCCGGACGCCCACATTGTCACCGAGAACTCGCCCTCGAGTGTCTTGATCTGTACCTGCTTCTGCTCCCACTTCCTAGCCTTGGTCTCGGTGGCCATCTCGCTGAAGATCGCGTGATCAGACGCGCGAAAACGTGTGCCACCACTCTTGCGCGCCTTCTTGGCGGCTTTACGGGACGGCCCCGGGCTGGACTCCACATAAATATCGTTCTCCGGTACGGGGATTTGGTCGTACAGGCTGAGAGGATCCGGACCAACGATCTCTTCTTGTGTCTGCAGTATGATTTCTTCACGGCCCGGCTCCGGCAATGGCTGCAGCGCTATCATCGGCTGCCCGTCCTCGCCCTCGATCGTCGTCTCCACCGTTTCGCACGGTATCTCCACGGGGATCGCCTCTATCTCCACCTCCTGGATATCCGGTTGAATCTCCACTTCGGTTATTATGTCCGAGGACGCCATATTAATCTCCGACGACGCCATGTTCAAGAATCAAGATGGTCGTCCGGACAAGCCGCGGGGTGGCGAGCGTCTGCGCCACGTGACCTCGTCACGTGACATCGCCGAGCGCTAGCGTCGTTCTAAGCCGCGGCGCCATCTTGGGAGCATAGCGAGATGCTCCATCTGAATCGTTCACATCTTTTTATTTTTCTACGAGTTTGTCAACGTTCTTCGCATCTCATCGCGGTTAATCGTGCGTGACTCGATCGTGTCGATTGTTATACCGAATCGTTTACAGATACCAGCTGAGATAAACGGAGCGGAGCGGTGTCGTGCGAGACGAACGACAGGGGTATAGGTTAGGAGACACTCCTCGACAATCGTCGTCGCTATGGATCTGTCAAAAATAACGGACGAGAGGAAATTGTATCTCTGTAGATGGTACTTTCGTGGTGCGTGATGTTTAACTTTCTTTTGTGTTTTTTACGCAAATGTGTCGTTTGGTTGTATCTCGGGTTGACAATCTCTCTATGCATTTTTGGCAAAAGATGTCATTATCCCTAGTTTGAAGCATTATAATAACTTCTGGCAACATGGGAAATACTTAGAGCAAAGGCTCAAGGTTTGCTCTACATCTATTGTAGAATCTTAGCTACATTTTTTAGGTTTCCTTATAATTTCTCTGCAAATTGTATCGTCAATATTGTAGCATATTGAATAGCTACAGTAACAAAACCCATTGTTTACAGAGTCGTTTTCATTATTTTCTTTGTTACAGCTGGTTTCGTACTGTTGCCATTTCTATGGGCTGTGAACGCCATTTGGTTCTGGAAAGAAGCCTTTGCTGAACAATCGTATGAAGAACAGAAACAGATTAAGAAATGTTAGTGCTGGTTAACCTTGATATTATGATGAGATATGTGCAAGTTATAAAAAAATGTTCTTATATTTTTTTTTCTTTCAGATGTGATATTATCTGCTATAGGAGCGGCAATTTGGGCCATTGCTTTGATGGCATGGATAATTACCTTCCAAACTCAGAGAGCTGCATGGGGTGACTTTGCCGATGCTATCAGCTACATAATTCCTGCTGGTATTCCTTGATAATCTTATAATCGATACTTTACCTTGTTATATAATTTACCACAGATGCATAACAAATAGTGTTTTGTATATTACTATGTTAAACTTGTAATATAGTTGTATTCGAGATTCGCGGTAAAATTTTATATCTAGCATATGTCATCATTGAAATAAAAAAATTTTTTTATAGTATATATATAATTATATATTAAAAAATTTCAATTATTACGCTATAATCTCTTGTTTGTTTAAAATTGCACTTAGATATGTATAGAAATTGCAACAGAGAATACTGTAAAAAATATACTGCTTATTTCTGTACATTTAAGAATTCTTACATCATTTAAATAATATGAGATATATATGTATATACACATATCTTTCTCATATCCGGCGTGATGTTACAACGATTTTGTATATTTTATTAAGAAAATGCGAGTGAGATTGCGAGACACACATAGATCTGACGAATAGCCACGAAATTCGCGCAGTGTGTTTCCATGATCACTATTTTATAGTTTATACTTAAAATACTCGTCGTTGCATATATAATTTTAATTCGCTATAAACTAATCTGGACAGAAGCTGAAAAACGACAAAATGCAACATAAGTATGTCACTGCTGAGGATTTGATGTTTGCTAGAGTAAATAAGTGGAAAAGATGAACTCACCAATAGAGCCAATAGGTCCGAGGCCATCAACATGTAAAATACATTGTGCCATCCGGCCCATCGTGAAATTAGCCCCGCTAATAGCGGACCCACGGCAGCTCCGATGCTACCGGTACCGTCGATGATAGCAGTCACTGTAGCTAAGGCCTTCGAATTGTCACCTAAGCTAGGATGAGTCCCAAGTTCGGTGGATACTGCAGTCGTTATCAAAGCGTAAGGACCATTCACTAGCAATCCCGCCAACAATAATAGTATCACGTTGACACCTAGACTGGTGTTCCTCACGTAATCATATATGAATAACTGCGGGATTATACAAGGTGCGCGTTATAATACATATATCGTTCCTTATCGTGTGTATATATGAAATGTAATCTTAAATTTTCGTTTCAGAGCAAGGATTATTTCTCAGGCTGCTCTCGCTAGATTTTAACATCAGACTTTGGAAATGGAGACTCACCGTGGGAAACGTGAGTCCAAACATAATGACGCACGTCAAAGCGCTCATGCCGCTATAATCGGAAAGCACTCCAGCCGCTATAGCGCCTACTATACCGCCGACGTCAAACAAAACTGACAAGTACGCGCTTAAAGTTGTACCATACGTAGCTGTAAGGAGATTCCAATGAGATTACAACGAGATTTCGTACAATGATACTTTCATGGATACTTACTCGACGCCGCAATATACAATGGTAACCAGTAAAGGAATGTATAGCTAACGAGCTTCGCGAAGAACAGAGATAAGGAATACTCGATGACACCAGGTATTTTCATGGCTCCCACAAATCCGATCGCACTATCTTGAGATGCGCTATAAATGCGTTGGTGTCCCGATAACATCGGACTGCTTTCGGATCGCGAATTATTCGGGTCCTTTGAGGAACACAAATACAACATGTAACAATCTATAGATCGCAAACGGTGAACATTGCGATATATAGTGATAAATTTGACAATAATATTGTTTTTCATTGCGTGCTGGGTGAGATACTCGCAACTTAAAAATTGCAAATAAATCGGATATAACCATTGCTCGTACATTGCAACCTTTCGTTCGACTCTAACGAAAGTGTAATTTATACACACTAGTACAAAACTTAGTTTGCGACTAAGAGCGTTAATTAAATAGGAAAGTGGCATGCACTTACGTCAACGGCAACTTGTTCACGGTAGACACAGCGATAGATGACACGCTAGGTACAGCAGATGGTTATTTATTATGTGCAAATTATATCTACTAGAAACAATTAAACGATTTACTAAATGTAAATATATGAGGGTGCTAAAAGAAAGAGAAGCACACGATAAACTACACAACTCTCAACTACAACCATTTCCAGGATAACATTAGAGAAAAAAGAAAGAATACGCCTGTAATTATCAATGATATCGACATGCTTGTAATCTGTTTTAATTATAAATGTGTGTTGACTCTGATCTAAATAGTTTTGTGTTACATAATTGTTAAATATACATTTAAATGCGTGCTTAATAGAAAAGTAGTGCAAGATTGTCAGCAGCTATGTACAAACTTACATCTTCGCCGGTGATGTGAGGACCATCACCGACATCGGCATAGACATCATCATCCGAACTATTGGAGGCCTCGATCTTTCTGTACACATGAGAGTTAGGCGGGCTACACCCTACGTCGGTAGGGTTTGGCACTAGAAACAGGAAGACGACGAATCCGACCAGTCCCATTATAGCGCCAGGCACCATAAAACTCAAACCCCAGTCGTGTTCGACGTACTTCGCTGCGATCAGACTGCCTAGTATATTTCCTAAGGACGTATGCGAGTTCCATACACCAAAGATGAAGCCGCGTTTACTCTTGCCAAACCAGTTGCCCATGACTGTCACCACACCAGGCCAACCTGTGGTTTGAAATATTCCGCCCGCTGCCTGCCACGAGAGAAAAGTAGACGTGGAAAATGCACGGATTTATGTACTTTGTTATGTATTCTGTCGATGTATACCTGCACCAAAATGAAGTACCATAAGCTATGAATATTGTACGGCCTGGCGATTCCAAACAGGTAACAGGATATACCGGACGCGATCATCCCGAGGGAGAGGAAGTATCGCAGATTTACTCTTTCCGCTATAAATCCACTGTACAAGCAAACGAAACAATATTGTTGCTAATACGTTGAATGTCACATCACCTATATTTGGGTAACACGTGAGTTTCTGTAAGGACTTAATTTTCACTCGTCTGTGGATTACGGATTTACTTTATGTCAATTAGAAATGATTTGAGTAAATTCTCAGTAAGTATAATTAGTAATAATATCAAAAGATTGCAATTATTATATTATTAATCCTATTAGAATCCTAAATATCAAAAAGTTTTGTACACTCTAAACATGGGTAAATTTTACCTGGTGAATTTTTATTTGCCCATCGTAACTTCCGGAAAGATGATCAAAAATATTTTTTTCTATCAGTGTAAAAAACATCGAGAAATATATATCTATTAAATAATATTTTTGCAATTCAATGAAAAAAGTTATAAAAAAAACACGTTTTTAAGAACGATTGATTATAACGGTTGATTGGTTTGGATAAATTTTAAAGATTCTAAGTTTAATATATATATATATATATATAAGTAATATAATAATATTATTAATCGAATTTAACTCATGCAGTTGGCAATGTGTTGAGCAATTCGATACACAATTGCACGCGATGGCTAGGGAATTCAGGTCTGGTGGAGCTCACAACCAAATTGACATAATGTGCTAGAGAAGATCATATTGATTGCAATATATTACCTAAGAAACATAGCTGCTGCATATGCAAATAGGAACGACGAGTCCAGCAAACCGAGTAACGCTGGTGCATCATCTGTGTCTGTAGAAGAGGTAAATTATAAATATTTGTATATTCCAATATGCAAATTTAATTGATAGCAGAGGAATATCAGTTGTACTTACCAAATGGAACCCAATCACACCAATGAATACTGTCATTTGCTGGGATATCAGAAGATGGTGATATTCCACTGCAATTCTGGCTCAGAATATTCTTCACTACAGATATTGGTTTTCGAGTCAAGTGGTAGCAAGTGTACGCTAAGAAGGTAATCACCAGTATCCCTGCTTGATGCCATGGTTTCCAATTGATGTGCTGTTGCGCACAACAGCTGTTACATACGTGTCTCAAACACTGAATGCCACATGGCACATCTTTCACCTGTCCACTCATACTTGATGTATATATATATGTGTATAATAATACTTTCTTTGATAAAGCTTTGAAGAAATATTTGGCAGAGTATCACTCAATGCCTTGTCAGATGCTTTGCACAGTCTCCACTCTTAACATTAAAATATGTTAAATCTCTGATTGCATTAAGTAACAAAGCACTCTTTGGTTGCGATGAATGCACGAAAATATCTTGTACATTGAAGCTAAAAGATATTTCTGTTTTATAGACACGTCTTTGATATAAAACAGATGGAAATTTAAGAATTTAGAACGGAAATAACAACTAATTATAATCTATTATCGATTAATGAAATTAAGTAACGCGTCAGCAAATCATTCTTTGCACTATTTCCGTGAATTATTCGTAAAAAATGCAAATAACGTTTCAGTAACGCCAAGTCCACGATGCTTCGCATTGCCTCGACCGTCCATTCACTTTTATTGAGCAGTGAAGCGAAAAAACAATAGTCAGATAAATTCAATGACAAATACAGCTGTGAGTCATAACCTGGAAGCAGGTACAGAAGTTGGAACAAAAGCAGGCCCTAATTATCAGATATGAATCGAGAATCTACTTTGTCTCTAAAAAACACTCACTCGTTTGTAAGATTTCAAAAACTTAAGTTAGAAATATTCTTAATGCGATAAATGCGATATTATTTCTTTCTGCATCGAAACGGAATGTTTACTATGTCACTATAATAAACGTTTGCTCTTTTCAGTCGCATTGGAGCTGCACTAGAATTGAGGTTACAGGCACATGAGAGCACCACATATTTACCATACAGTCTGTTCTTTTTATCTGCACTACTGAATTGGTGTAATAAGTTAAAATGAGACATATATATTTTTTCTCACTCTAACTTATTACATATCAGTTCAGCAATGCAGCCGAAAAGAACAGACAATGGCCGCGTTCCGTTTCATGCATATGCACGCGTTTATCTACAGTTCATGTTACGTATATTGTAGGAAATGCGCGCATAATGCGTGAAACGGAACGCAACCAATGATTGACTGACAAAATGCGTCAGCTGTTCAGCAGATACAAAATTGGCGGGAAACCGATAAGCGGATTCGTGGTGTATTATAACAATATGTCATCTTGACATCATCGATACGTCAGAAATCACATGAGAGATCATTGTCTTCAACTTAATTTACAATACTCGGAGCGATTTGATAGCGTGGTATATTTCTACAGCTGTTTATCTCCTCTCCACCATGGCAATGACGACACGGAATGCCCGGCTTGGCCAGGAGGTTAGTTTTACGTACAATCGCTTCGTGCTTTTATCTTACTTCTTCTTTTATGGTTTTTTATCTGTTCCTTTAGAGATATATCACTCTTTTACTACTATTATTTTTTCTATGATTTCATTTCATTTTTCACGAAAACTTTATAATTTACTGTAAGAATACGTTTGGCTTTATGATGCATAAGATAAATCTCTCTGAGATATACTATATTTATTATATCTCAGAATAATACTTTTTCTATTTTTGACTGTCTAATATTTTATTTCTAAATAATTTTTAAAGAAGTCTATAATTTTGAACTTTACAGGTTTCTAGAACTTTGCGTCGATCACCGAGAAACTTACCGCAGCATCTAAAGGTATGTAAGTAATAACTATTTTTTAACGAAGGGATGTACATTGTTTTATAAAAATAAATTATCGTCAAATTACATTTTTTCCCCATTTCTAAACTCACGTACTCAAACTCATATATGTATCTCTAAAAATTTTAAAGTTATCTCTACTAATTTCCTTTTTTCTTACAGGAAAAATTGGAACAGCCAAAGCCTGAAAGAGAACCTGATATAGAAACTTTACCTCCAATTGTTTTCAAAGGACAAATTCAGTATGCTAATGACTTTTTTGACTGTGCCCAAATTTGTGACAATCTCATGTAAGTAGATAGGAGATTTAAACTTAAAATAAGTATCATTATCACATGTGAGATAAAAATTCTAAATTAGAAACATTAAATTTAAAAAAAAAATTAAAGGAATTAAACTAAAAAAATTAGTTAATAATTAAGACATTTGAGAATATAGAACTTTATATATTAAATATTTAATTAAAATTTCAAATTTGTATGCATTAATTTTTATCTTATTTAAATTTTGTTTTTGTATTATTGTTGTATTATTTTATTTAACATATTTTATAAAATCTTTTAGACAAGAAGTAAAATATAGTGAGAAGATCGTACCAGTAGGTTTTGACCTGGAATGGCCTTTCAGTTTTCAAACTGGCAGTGGAAAGACCGCATTGGCACAAATCTGCTTAAAAGACAGTGTGTGTTATCTTTTGCATGTGTATTCACTGAAAAAACTTCCAGCAGCTTTTGTCGAGTTTTTCTGTCATCCAAAAGTTAAACTTGTTGGTGTCAATATAAAAAAGTTAGTTGGATGTGTTATTTATAAGTATGATAAGAATAGATAAATAAATATTACCATAGCATTCTAAAAATGTTTGTTTTTCGGGTGAAACTTTAATTCGGGTATAAATTTTATTTGTAGTTTCTTTATTTAGTATTATTTAGTATTACCTCACATATTTTAATACTAATTTTATGCTTTACATTATTTTATGCTTTATACATGGTAATCCATAATTGCAAATTGATGGCTTACAGCGATGTGTGGAAGCTCGGACGAGATTTTAAGGAGTTCCCTGCTCAGAAGGTGGTAGAGAACAATTGTATGGACTGTGGAACATATGCCAATCAAGTCTTGAAGCGATCTTGCCGTTGGAGCTTGGAAAAATTGACTGCTTACTTGGTATTAATTTTTATTTAAACAGACTAATATTTAATTGAAATATCTATAAAGAAGTTATATTTAGTTGAAGAAAAGAATCGACAAGAATCCGGAAGTGCGAAGAAGCAAGTGGCACGTGCAACCACTTAGCGACGCCCAGAAAACTTATGCTGCATCAGATGCTTATGTGAGTAATTCATTAAAACTCGAATTTAATAGTAAATTTTCTTTATAATGAATTTTTTTCATGTTTTTGAATAATAAAAAGTATCAAAATTAAAATTATCTAAAAACTAAGATTCTTTGAAAATTGAAACACTTTATAAAGAAATATAATTGCTAAAGAGAATTTCTAATCTTTTCAGCAAAGTAATAACCTTCTCATGTTTAGGTATCTCTTTTGCTTCATATGACAATTGAGGCAAAGGCTGCTGCTTTAGAAGAGCAAAATCACGAAAATTCACCAAAGCCTCTACCTTAATGAAGTTCAGGTTCAACAACTATTTAAATTAAAATGCATTCGAGAGTGGTGAAGGTTTTTCTGGCCGGTCGTCTGTCGTATGGTGCCGGCCAGCGACTTCAAAAAACTTTGTCGGATCATCACTATCAGCGTTTGAGCGAGCCAGCGAACACTTTGGTGATTTTAGAACACAAACCGGTGTACACGGTAGGAATTCGCGATAAAGTATATACTGTCGAAGAAGAGACGAAATTGAAGAATCTGGGCGCAGAGTTTTGGAGGACAAACCGCGGTGGTTTGATCACTTTCCACGGACCTGGTCAGCTGGTAGCTTACCCAGTGCTCGATCTGAAGCAGTTTCGCACCAGTGTTAAGTGGTACGTAAACCAGTTAGAGTGCATGGTAATCCGTTTGTGCGCTGAGTTCGGCATCGAGGCCCAAACATCTCCTCATACCGGAGTCTGGGTCGACGATCGTAAGATCTGCGCCATAGGTATTCACGGCAGCCGCTACATTACCACTCATGGTCTGGCACTCAACTGCAACACCGATCTCACGTGGTTTGATCACATCGTGCCCTGCGGCATCGAGGGTAAGGGCGTCACCAGTATTTCCAAGGAGTTAGATGTAGATATCAAGGTTGATGATGTGTTGCCGATCTTCATCAACACTTTTCGCGATCAATTCGAATGCGAGCTGATAGAGTTTCCAACCAAGGAAGCCTTGCAGATCTTACAGGATACGATACGATAGTCACGGTCAATTGATATTATAATTAGTAGTAAGTGTTCGCGAGTTTTAAGGAAGCCTTGTCTTGTTCTTAATTGTGTTACTCTCTGCGATGTAATATTTAAATTGACGTCTTTCGATCTTTTATGTTAAGTATGGATATTTAGAATTTCGAAAGTTAATTGTTTGGTGCTTTGAATTTTCAACAGGATGTTTTAAATTGTTGGATTGTTCGACATCTTGATAAAATAATATTAAATCAATGTTAAAAAATTTTTATATCAAAGAAACTTGAAAACTGAAGATGTTAATGTCCTTAATCGTGTCTCGATAATATTTTGTAGACGTCTTCAAATTGATATCACAAGTGTTGCAAAACTGAATTTAAATTTATCACAAAATATATCTGATATCAGTTTGAAGCCCATATAAAGACAATATTTTTTTGCATTAATAATTGTTAATTCTATAATATATCGAAATGTATTAATTCTGTCAACAAATTCAGCTAAATTTATTTATTAATTTCTTTTTTAACAATTATTGCGCTTATTATATCCGATTAAAAAATATTAAATATGATCTATTAACTGCATTGTCAGATATCTTTAATGCGATTTGCATAAGTAAATTGAACATATAATTTCTGTACACCAGTAGCAAATTATCGATTATGCGAATTGTGTTTGTGTGTGTTGAATGTATGCGTGCGCATATAATAAATTTTATACTATATAAATAAAACATATTACTAATTTAATGCTAATGACACAGTCCATATACATAATCGTGTGTGTTTAAATTGAATGCGTAAAAAATTATGTAAATACGATATATAAAATACGATATTTTACATATTGCAATAAAGAAAAAATAAGGAGAAGAAAGAACATCAGAGTCGAAGAAAATGCATCGTGCGACTAGACTGATCCTGATTTAAGATATTAAAATTATAAGAAGGTAAAATGAATGCAAACTTGCATTATGTCTGAGATTGCATTACAATTGTGCATTGAATGTTAGAACTGTTAATTGAATATTGATACAAGTAAGCACGCAAGACATTTTAAATTCCAATATATGTTACTAACGTCGTATATATACAATTATGATGAAATCACAGTAATCTACAAATCCAATAAAAGATGTTAAGCATTCAATTTAAACGCGACGTCATTTGGTGAGATCTACATAGTGACGGACATATATTCTATTCTCAGTCAACAGTGATATAGTTATCCTCGAATTTCGCATTATTTCAAGTGTCATCGAAATAGAGATCGGGAATATTTCAATATATTGGAAAATTTCGAAGGATTTAATTTCTTCGAGAACCTTCAAACTTATAAATCCGTCGATATAAATTAAATATGCCTAATTGTATTAAAACTTTAAAGAATTCTTTTCAATAACACTTGAAATATAACGTATATTCGCATCATATGTTTAAAGTGATTCGAAACGCTCATCATTAGTCCGTCACTAAGTCTACGTAAAACTACTATCACTCTGTCAGCACGTGCAGGTATCTTTGATTGTAAAGCTCTGTAGTAAGAGCGCCGACGACCTCGACAGCATTGTGTAGGGAGTTGGCTGAATCCCTAACGAGTCGAATAGCTCTCTCCACGTCAGCACGCAGCTCTGTGTACTGCTTATTCAACAACAGTCCCTCCAGACCTTGCATCGCCTTCACAGCCTCCACACTGGGTCGTATCTCCATCGCGTCCGGATCGGTCGATCTCGTGGGCGCCACACCGGGCGAGTGCGGAGTATATCTCACTAACTGTTGGTCGGACTTGGATTCTGGTAACTGCGCCAAACAATAGACGGCCGTGGCGCGACTTAGGAACTTGCACCTGCGAGAAAATCGAGTTAATGAACATCCTACATTATCATATAAAAAGAAAATGAAAATCTAGCCTTTTGACAGAGTGATCACGGCTTACCGTACGGTAAGCTGAGAACCTTTCCTCAGCCCGATAGCGCCCAGAATGCCCCATCCTTGTCCCACATCATCTGCTATCGTCAACAACGCTCGTGCCAGCCCTTTCAGAGCTCTCGCAGCTATCACCGTGTTCTCGCTGTACTGGCACTGCCTATAGGCCAGCTCGCACACTTTCGCCCACAGCAGAGGCAGTTTCTCCTCCGCGATATCTCTGAATAAAGAAAATTCGTTCATAATTTTACAAAATTTTCACAATTGAGATCAAAGAAACAATAATTTTATACGACAGAAAAGATAAATAATAATCTTATTATTAAAGGTATAATAAATCCTATTTATTTTTCGAGATCACTTACGTAGTTTTAATGGCACTAATCCAATCCACCAAGTTAATTAGAAGCATGCCCTCCTCTCGGATATCCTGACAGGACGGAAGTCTCTTCAGCAATACGGAATAGAGAGCTAGCAATCTACCTTCTGACACTAGTACAGACTCCAGTGGCGGCTGACGAGGTACTACGGACTGCAGCACTATCAACACTGCCGCCCATGTAGGCCGAACGTCGTCCGTTACTAAAAACCGAGTGTGAATCAGAATGGATTGTAAGTAAGTATTATAGCAATCAAATAAATCAAATTCAATCTGAAAATAAAAGAAGTTTGTTTATTTTTTATAGATGACAGATAGAGTTACGTTTCAGAACTGTTCGCGGATTTGCTTACCGTTATACTTGAAGTAAGCCTCCAAGGCAGCTTCCATGAGATGGCCCAGAGTAGACGAAGAAGCAACTGCAATTCCGATCACTCTTAACACTCCCATTAGTACTGGACTGCTAGCTGTTCGTTCTAGCAGCCATGCTGTCCAACTAGTACGGAAATGCTCGCTTAACGCCGCGCTCTGATTCATCGAGTGCAAGAACTCGGTAATCAGCAGACCCGCTTCAGCAACCTGTTGCGACTCGGAGACAGCTGAGAGAAAAAAGAGAAAACACTTCTTAGGCTTTAGACTTTTTATTGTAAGTAAGTTGCATTCCTATACTTTTTAGATTCTTAAATAAGTGTTTTTTATTTAGTTACTTACTGTTAGTGATAACGATCTCCATGTCATCGAGCATCCGCGACAATGCAGCGTTGAACGCTTTGCTGTTGGTTGAAAGAAGAGATTTGTGTCTTGTGGTGCAGTTTATTAGCAATTTTACCGAGGAACGCACGTACATCTGTCTCTTCTTTAGGGTTGTGGGATGAAAGTGCTTTATCGTGGGATCATAGCCTGCTGCTATCTTTAGTAAGCTGCATATTCAATTATTTTAATAATTGATGCTTCTTATATACGCTACTAATACAGCACTAATCAGACTCACCTGTTTACGGCTGTGTCAATGGGATGGGTAGGATCGCCGTCCAGGCATAGAATCACTCTAGGATCGCAGCTCATCACGTGCCAATTAATCACCTGATCGTACGCCGTGGCATCGATCAAGTGCCAGGAGAAGCATTCAGATTCCGCAACTAGCTGTACTGCTTTCTCATTCTAAAATATTAGTTAGACTTTTATTTCTAAAGTTTTAGTCTCTCGTTGGTATATTTTGGTAAGGATTATATTAAATTTATATCTTCGAGCTCTTTTAGATTCTTCAATTGTCTCCTTCAATCTTACCTGCCTAACATTGGGCTCGTTTGATAGCTTCACTAACAGGTTCAACAGACAAACGTGCATCTTAGCGGCGACTGGCAATGACTGTGTGGCCATTAACTCGTTGATCCAGGTGGACCAGTTAACATAAGTGAAAACGCTGCCGAGAAACAGATGGCAGTCTGGCAAATACTGATCGACAACCTTGATCATCAATTCGACGTCATTGGCGGTGGGGTGAAAGCGATCCCACGGCAAAGAGAGGAAGTTACCGTGCACCACGTTCAACACGTGTTCCTTGACGGATGCGTGCGCGTAGTTTGACACATAGAATTGCCATACAAAACTGAGGATTTTACTGGATGCTGGCATAGTGTCAACAATGAAGCGTATGCATTCAGCGAACATCGCCATCGTCCGATTTGCGTAAGGACCGTCAGTGATAATCCATGGTAGTAGCACCGATCGATCATCGGTCAGCTGCTGGATCCACGCAGCCGTTGGCTCACGCAAGTTTCTTGTCCAATAGGGGGTAATCCACGGTGCGTACATCTCGCTCAACACTGGCCAGATTTTCTCGCACACTAGAACAGAAAAACATAGATAAGTTTACGAAATTTAGATTAAATTTATGTTGTGAGAGAATAAAATTTTCGGTATTTAAAGTTTTCAAAATCAAGAATCTTAATCAACGGTCCCATCGACTCACATTGATCAGCGAGCGATCCTCGATCAGCCTGAAGAGTCAATACGACTAGAGCGTGACCGACCATACCGAGGAATATGGTTAAAGACTCATTGTAAACTCTATATTTTGGATAGAGCCCGTATAGTCCGTACTGCAGTCTTTCTTTCATGAAATGTCGGCTTAGAAGTACAGCAGTGTCGTGCATCTACAGTCAAATCATAAAACCTGGTTAATAAATTTTCACGAAAATCTACCGTTAAATTTAAAGAATGAAACAATAAAGTCGAAATAAAATATTTCTTTTAAGTTGAAGATGTCATTTATAGAGTTGATGAAACAAACCTCTTGTCGAGACAGTAGCCTTTGTTCCGTGGCGTAATGTTTGACCTCATCCCTGATCTTCGACGGATGTATAGGCGCGCTGCACTTTGGCTTACCGCTAAGAGCTCCTAATAAATCGCGCCATACGTCCAGAGACAAATTCTGACTCTCGGATCCTCTCAATACCGCGCTCAACACTTCGCCGTAATGCTCGGGGAACTCATGCAAGAGGATGAGACGCAGGTGGTTTCGGAAGAGCTGCATCAATAATCATGGTTCGTATAATAAAATTCTCATCTTTTTCAATTAAAGCAAATGGAATCGATAAAAGTTAAAAATTTATAGAAGTTATTGAGATACCAAAACATTTAAGATGAACAAACAAAATGGATAACGCTCACTTCGTGTAACATCAGCTTTTCTTCTTCGGGATTCAAACCGATGTTGCACAACGCCTTAGAAACTAAATCTATAAAGGTAGATCTCTCACTCAATCGTGGACGGCGATAGTTTAACCAGCTACCGACGTCAAACTGTAATAGGAGTAATGATACATTGAGAGTCATAGCGAATCAAAGACAATAATACAGTTCGACTCTTACTTTCGAGAGCAATACGAAGCACAAGTCGACATTCGAGCCACTAGCTAAATCTACGACAGTTTGATACATCTGCAAGAATGTAGAAGCTCCTCCGGCAACTGGTGTGAAGTGCGGACCCAACAAGCCACCGAGACTAGGTCTTTGAATAATTGTACTCAGTAATCGCGGGCCTCGACTCTCTTCTCCGCTAATGAATAACTGAAAGCAGAATTTAGAAATTAATAAGTTATAATAATTTGTAAGATCTCAAAAGTGTTTATTAGAGAGTAAGCTGTAATGTGTACCCGGCCCAACTTCTCCAAGCAAGTAGTGATAAGCTGTTTTGTAGGTGGGCACAACGTTGCTTCTTCCGTATACGAGTCCACTAGGTAGTAGAACAGCTCGACTCCGCTCTCTTGAACTTTCTGCAATATCGCACCGTTCTCGTTGGTGTGACTGACAGTTAACTCATGCTCCAGCATTCTGAGGAACGAAAATATGAATAAAGATTAAGAAGAGCAATTGTACGATTTGTCCTAATGTCGTTAGATTTAATATTCAGATACAGCAATCTTAAATAATTTTGAAGTTTAAGTTGAATCTGATAGTACTTTCGAAAGATAAAAAATTGTTAGGTTGCTTACGCAATCAAATGATCAATGAAAACGCAGCCCAGAGTGACTTTGCTGGGTGGCGGTTGACTAGCTTTCACTAATAAATTCTCATATTCTGCTCGATTCTGAGTTATCATGTGATCCACACCTTCGCTGACATGAGCCTCTGCAACCTGTACAAAGAAAAATTTTCTTTACAGAGGAACAATCTTATTCTTTATTATATTCTTTTACGCGTTTTATTATTATAGTATTATCCTACCTTGATTCTAATAACTGCAGGACCCGCACAGTGCACCGTGGGTGGTGTGCCTGATCTGGAGCGTCTCTGACCTAGTGGCGCAGGGTCACAGAGAGCGTGCAAGGTCACTTGATTTTCGAAGATCCGATAAAGGGTCGGCACCAACTCCAGAAAACTGCAGTCTACCGCGGTGTGTTCGGAAACCATTAAGTTGTATGTCTGCGCGTAGTCCAGAACGATCCTTAGGTGCGGCTTAACGAGATCGACAACTGCGGCGACGTTGTAAAGACTTTCTCGAACTATGCAGCCCAGCACTAACTGGTTCCGGCTAAGAGGCGGCGGTGGCACCGGTGATTCGTAAGAGCCCAATCTGCGAAAGATGCGGCGAAGAGGATCGGCCGTTTCCATAGCGTTCGTTGGAGACTGACAGCATCTCAGGTACTGATTTTCAGGATCACGGAACGTCGCGCGTTCCCACTCGAGAACAGCTTTCAATTGACTTTGTTCTACTGCCCAGTGATCAACGTACTCAAGCCAGGGAGCCTAAGATGTTGATGTTGGTGAAAAGAGACAGAAATAATAACAATTTTATTAATATTACTACAATACGCTCTATAATAATGATATAATAATAATGATATAATAATAATAATGATATAATAATAATGATTATTAATGTTATTATATCTAATCACATGCAGCAATTCGATTGGCTTACTCGATCTCCTTGTACTAGCAAGATTAGTCTCTGCGGCATATATTGTGGCGGTAAAGCTGGAAAATAACACGCAGGCTCCTGAAGACGAGGTTCCTCCAGCCAAAGACTCAATGTTTTATAAAACCTATTTGGAGCATATATTTTTAAGATAAAAAAGAATTTCGTTATGTTTAAGTTTATCCTCAACTTACTTTGCGACGCTAAAGTAAAATACACGCCGTTCATCTGTCATTGGTTTTCCATTGTCTATGTCCTTCTCCCCTTTCGATCGGAAATGTTCCGTCGTTTCGTGCAAACGCTTTTTTAATTTCTTCATGTAGTTCAGGTTCATCATACCCTCGAAGAAATTTTCACCGACTCCGCCTTGACCGGTAGATCTATAACGACCCAAGAAATAAATGATAAGGGCTTTACACGGAATTGTCATTACTTTTCCGCGAAGAATAAAATGATATTCACCCTGTAATGGGAACTCGTGCGAGGAATAAACTGAAGAAATGTTGCCATAAAAGCGGTAGAAGTGGATGATCTACAGGTGTATCGAGGGCTTGCTGAGACCAGCGATAGATAGCTAGGTGATTCACTCCAAATGGTGTCACTTTTACCGTTGCACAGGCTCTCTAAAGTAATTTCCGTTATAATTGGAATTTTATATAATTATAACACTTCATTATAATTTTCGTATCCTTGATTTTTAAACCTTGAGTGCGGTGTCCAAAGATATCTTGGACTGCATGGATAGCTCTCGTAGGATTTCGCGCCACAACCCGGTTTTTATCTCTCTGTCGTACTCCTCCGCCAACAGGACTTGATACGCGAGCCATATTGCCTGGACAGTTCCGCCGAGGAGGCTCGTAGAGTTAGATGATCCTGTGGCCCAGCTTAAAAAGGAGCCGAATGATCCTGGAGTCCGATTCGATGTTATGTTCTACAAAGCCCACATTTAAACGTATGTAACATATATGCTGATAGTGACTAAAGGGCGCCAAATTATTAAAACTGAATGATCGATTTTTAAGCATCTTACCTCATTATTACCTTCTATAGCAGGCTAATAAAAAATGGTTAACAATTATTGTAAAAATATTTGATTGCTAAGTATGTATCCACTTTCCGCCGATTTCAATAGTTTGCATACTGCATTACTTAGATTACTTGAGGCACTTACGCAAAAGAGATTCTGAAACATGTTTCTCATCGTTGCTCTGGTATCTAAATGAAAGAATGCTGCACGAATTACAGTATCCATCAGGTACATCACACTATGATCTTTATTCCAATCTTGGACTAATATCAGCACATTCAGCCATAAGTGTACAAAACGTTCTGGACTGTATAAACAATATCTGCAAAGTGCAAATAATTAATATTTTTAGATATATATCTTTATAACTATATTGTAATTATTGTAATTCACATTTCTTTCTCTTCAACTCGAATCATTATTATATATTATCTATAGTTTTCTTTTTATCTTATGATTACATTAACCCTCGAATTTATAAACAGTCTTACATTGATTTATATTTTATTTCTATAGTACCGTTTGTAATGATGCAGATGCGACTCGATCATATGGGCAAACTGCTTAAGAATTGGTCCGGGAAACTCTGGGGCGATCAGATTTTTCGCTATCTTCATGTACGTGCGGTCAGCAGTAATGAGTGGTACTATTAAACTGACGAACTTATCGTTTTTCAGCAACGAGTCCGGACACTCGAGGAACAACGGCACTACACGGTACAAACACACCAGCACTTGCTCGTACTTGTAATAGCACTGTAGAGTTTGCAACTGGCCGAAGCCTTCAACGCAAATTAATGGCACTGAATGGCCCCATAGTGTCATTAGCACGGAGACGTAGCAAGCTAACGGCTGCTTTTCGCGCACTCCTTTCGTCAAGACGTCAAGAAAAGAGTCGGATTCCATGTTGGGCATATTAGAGAGACCCTCAGCTGGGTTCGATAAAATGTGCCGACACATGGCTTCCGATTGATCTAACTGATGAAGCCTTAATCTATTTACTATCTCCCAAGCCCACAGACTAAATGCCTGTTCGCTGTTCTGTGGTCTCACTATCGAAGACACCTGCAAGTCGAGGAAAAGATTGCTCAATTGAAATCAATAGTATGTAAAAAACAGATATGCATATATTTAAAAAAAAAATGTAACATTTAAATGACAATAGGATTTCAGTAAATTTAATTTTTATCTCTTTATAGCGACTCACTTGCTTTACACCTTCAGCTAATAGAGAGGCAGTCTGCGCTGGATTGTCAGGTGCGTACTTCATCATAAGCTCGACAATCATTAACGCCACTTGTCGATGTAAATGAATTGGAAGAAACAAACTGTCGTTTCTGTTAAATAATTATTTTTTAGTATATTAATAAAAAAATTTTCAATATCCTAAACAATAACGGTTAGTTTTATTATATCAGTGTTTTCAAAGAACATTAAGAAAACTTACGCATCAAAGCCCCAATTTAAATGTGTAAGAATTAATCGAGCCAAATGGTTTTCAGACGAAGTTAAAGAATGTTGATGTAACCAAGCAGATAGAATTTCCATGTCTTGTTGCTGTGGCACCCACATTCCTATCTTCAGTTCGGTGAATAAATATAAACTCAGCTGAAATTATTAAAATAGTTAATATTACTTAAGAATATTTTAATAACAAATTCTTTCATTATTGAATTAATTTATATTGATACTATTATTTTTTTTCGCGTAACACAGTTATAAATCATATGTTTGAATTACATAATTAAAATTTGTTAACAAGTATGAGAGGTAGTTTAATGTAAAAATTATTGTTGTTGCACGTACTTTTCCAACTGATACGAAATTATCTTTCAATTTATGCAGTATGTCAGACAGAAGAGTAGGATATTTGCTCGTCAGATTCGATAAAAGTGATCTCGCGTCCTTCGAGCAAGACTCTTGAGTTTTCTCACTGAGAAATCCAATCTACAATTCATTCATTAGATTAAAAATCTAATAGTAAAGAAATAGTAAATCTAGTAGTAAGATTTTAAAAATTTAATTTGTATTTTTAATAAATCAAATATTGACGTACTTGGAATAGATCAATCGTGGCCGTTCTTACAAAATCGTAGTCCTGGTAACCTCTCGCTATGGCCATGTTAGCGAAAGTAGTTAGGAGAAAGTAAGACTCGTCGCCAGGCATGTTGCATAGCTTTTCTTCAAATTGTTTATGAAGTTCAGAACAGCTTAGTTCAGCCTCCCAATCTGCAATGTTGAATATTGTTGTTATTATTTCAAAGACTTTTATTAATATTTCATCGTATTTCATTTACCTGCAGCCGACATATTTGACACTGCTACGTCGCTAGGTGCAGAATCGGTGTGTAGAATATAGAAGATGCGCCACAGAGTAGCAGGCAATATAATGTGATATGGTATCGCGGCGAGGTACTGCCAAGCGCCTAAACGTCGCGAGGAAAAGATGCAGAGGATCGCCCTTACGAAGAAACAATCGTATTCGGTCTGCAGTTTCAGTAGCATCGACTCATCAATTACCTGCACAAAAATGAAATTGATATCATTTTTTTAAATAGAATTTTCTTTAAGGAGAAGTTAAAACACAAATTTATGAGAGTATATGTAAGAATATTTAATGTAATATATATAACAAACGCGTGACCATATTTGCTGTACCTTGCTTCTGTCGAAAACTTCCCATTGATCGCTGGCATATTGAACGACGTCTCTAATTAGAGCACTGAGTCTCTTCGCCAACTGCCTATACCTTGGCGAGTCGTAAGTTTTCAGACCTTGCTTAAGAAGTCTGACGAACGTCGTGTAGAATGCAAAGAGACGTAACATGTGATGGTCTGTGATAACATTTTCCTCCTGATGATATCTATTATTCTGACATTGAATAAAGAGCACTTGCTCAAAGAGCTTTTCTAACGGAATCTGATGAAGAAGGGAAATTAAGTCGCTTTCGAACAGATTGGCGCCAATATTGGCGATATCCTCGTCTTCTTCGCCTTCTTCATCTAGCATCACCCACACTGTGTCGCCTGGACTACTCGAGGTATCTTGCAAAGATACTTGTACCTGCAAAGCAAATTGAAAGTTAAGACAAATTTATAAGTAGTAATTTCAAAATTCAATTTAACCAATAACGTTTAATAACCTATTCTTATTTAATAACAATATAATTAAAAATAACATTAAAAGTAACAGTTTATTCGATTTACAATTATTATATTTTTAAGTTGACAATTTTAGATGCAATAACTTGATTTAAAAAACAACAGAATAAATTCTCATCCATTCAAAATTACCTGTTCCAGAAATTTATCCCGTTCTTTGATCGGTAGTAGGATCACCGCGAGAGTGGCGATCATGTGATCGAGATATGGGTCACTGAACAACGAGGAGCACAATCCAGTTACTTTCGGATGCACTGGTATTTGCACGAAAGACTTGGCCCAATTCATCACGCCACCAGGACACCGTAAAATATGGTTTAATAAGAATAAATGGTCTTGCCATGTAGCGACTCTCAAGAGGATTGCCACCAATTTCGATAACCACTCTCTCGTGTCTGTGACGAACTTTCCATCCTTGAGGACTCGTCGTTGGAAATTGAACAAGATTGTAACGCACATTCTGAGCTCTACCAGCTGCGGAGCCGTCTGGGACGGCGATTGCTCCGGCAGGAGATTCGCCGGAGCTGTCTGTGGAAGGCTAACGAACTCCTAGAAGAAATAATTTGAATATTTTTACATACACATATCGCGTAAATAATCGCAAGGCGATATTAGTTTTATATATGTATATATCAATAAGAAAATAATTTAGCAATGTTAATACTTTAATATAATTTAAATTTTTACTTTAATTTTAGCTTTCTGCACTCTCGAATTAACTAGTTTCTAAATATTTTGTCGTGTGAGTAATTTTATTCAGTGAAAAACGCTGAAAAACTTACGCTAAAACTCCGAGCAACTCGTTGCACGTAATGCTCGATCTGCAGGCGCAAAGATTCTGCCTCGTAACAATATAACGCCTGGCTATTATGCAAAGTGTCCTTAATAGCTGTCAAAGTCCTAGAGAGTGCTACTAGAGTCTGCTGGTTGAAATGAGCGATTGCATACTCGTGACTGGCCGTGACTGGATTGCCGTCCTGGCATTCGCCGCTCTCAGTAATCGATGTCTTCTCCAGGTACCACAGCTGTTTCTGAGTCTCTCGACAGTTCTTCTTCAAACGATCTAACTCGTACGAGTTCGCAATCAAGTTATTTCTCACCCTCAAGTAACCCATCAGTAGTTCATGTAATCTGTGTTGCTGCCTCAGTGGCCCACACCTTAATTGGGTTTCTGTGAACTCGTTTACAAAGGCATCCACCAATGCCAGTTCTTGATTATTGTACAAAGATGCTAGTTGCTGATCTGTGAATGGTCTGACTTCCTTGAACACATTCTGTGTGTCTTTTTTGCTCTCTAAAACTTCCATTTGTTTTTGGCATGGAGATGCTACACTTAACTCTTCAGAAATCTGCACTGCTTGATTTGGCTCTTCAGTGGTAGTTGATGGAATATCAACTAGCTGAATTGTAGTGACACTTACTTGAACTTGCTCTATTTGACTGTTCAAAGTATTATTGGCTGCTGAGAAGGGTACGACAGTGTCAATTTCATCATAAGTATTTTCATCTAATGGCAGTATCTGGAATGTATAACATATAAACTATAGTATATTCTGTCTATATTAAAAAATGAATAATATTCCATTTATATGTTTGTGTGTATATATATATCACTATTATTATATTATTTCATGTTCATAATTTGTAAGGAAACAAAATATGAAGCTTTAAAATGAAATAGACTGAAATGCAAATATTCAATTATAATTAAATTTCTTTGCTGTGGTATATATTTGTTGTGTGTTCATTTATAGTATATAAATATAAGAAAATTTAAACATTCATATGTTTTATTGTTCAACTAAGATACCTTATTGACTGTTTCTACTTGCAAGTTGCATTCGTTTTCATGAGCTGCTCTCTCAGCAATCTCCTTTTCATAAACATCAGTATCAATGGCTGCAGAATGCAATTCACTCTCCATATTCTCCACACCTTCACCCTTTGGATAATTTGTGGGTGATTCCCCAAGTAAGCACTCAAATTCTTCCAATGTGGGAGCATCTGGTATCTGATGTTCCAGAACTGATTGACGTTGCTTTTCCCGTTTTTTCTTCTAAGAGAGGAACACAAATTGGTGTTTCAAAAACAAAAGGTAATTAAAAAATCAAATTTATATAAATAAAATTCAATTCCATTAATTGAAATTTCACTTTAAATCAATCAGAAAACAATCAATTAATATCAACATCAATTAGAAAATGCCCATGTTTTTACCTGTCGTTGCTTCTGCTTCTCCATGACGAAATAATACGATGACAAAGCGGCCGGGTTCACTGGATCAATGTAGATTACTAAGTGTCTTCTGCTAACACTCTCGGAGGAGTCTTTGTTGAAACTCAGAATAATTTTAAAGGACCGACTGACAATATGTTGAGTATCGACAAGAATGATTGAATACGACGAAGATTTTGACGTTAATACTTTGCTCGTTCATAGAGGTGTCCAGTGCGTTTCTTGTTGTCTTGTGCATCGTCTTCGCTTCGGCTAATTGCAGATAATTTTGCGACAACGTCATTAATACTTTGATAGAACTGCTGTTGATCAGCTGGTCCAAACACAATGTCACTGATCATTCGATCACAATACCACTATGAAATTACAATTTAAAAGAATCGAAATCGAGTGGGTATTTTAGTCCGGTAAGTGCTGCCACCTTTTAAGATATGCGATAAACTAGAACGCAGTTTTTATGGTAAAACAGTATTTTACCGACATGAGGAAATTCTAACGTGAATCAATATGTATTATTGCAATATATGTATATGTATAATATGTATTTATTTTCACTTAATTAATGAACTCTTCTTCATAAATTTATATAAAAAGTGAGTTTAGAGCACACAATAAACTGACTTTCAGTATAATCACGTTTGTGTTTTCATCGATGTGTATTCGCCAATAAAGACGCCATTAGTTATCGGTTACGAATTAGCACTTGCATCGATTATCTCGATCAGTTCCGTATTTTCTTTCGCCGAAACTTCCGGCAGCTTCTTGTTACTTCCTGAGATGGCCAGTTGACTTCGGATCTAAAGTCGATAGTGACAACGACATATCAGTGTCATTTCGGATTGTGCGCGCGGAATGCAAGAGGACGGTAATTTAGGAAACTTTTAATAAGTCCTGCATAAATGTACAAGCGCATAATATAAAAAACGTGCTGCACACTCACTCTATTTTTGTGCGATTGTATTCTTCTTTGACACAACTTACGAGAATCATCGCGATCGTAACGTTGCCGAACACGCAGTATGTTGACCAGTGTTCGTCTAAAAAAAAAGAATGCTTGATGAGATCGAACGTTTGAAAGTATAATGAAGTATAATGAACACACAAAACAGAAACGATATTTACTGCTGATATTAAAAATCTATGATATACGCAATATGAATTGTGTGTAGATTTTCAGTACTGGCAGTGAATATCAGAACGCAATCAAAATATGATTTGCCAAAGGTTGGAATTTAAAAACTGAAGGTAAAATGTTCTCACTCATCCACGGCAGAAAGTACGAGAAATAGAAAAGCGCGCCGACTAGGTTCGACAAGAAGATCATGTAGCCGCCGACAATGGCCTCAGAAATCGGAAACGCAATCTCGGCGGCGAGCTCGAGGAAAAGGGCGGGAGTTGACCAACTGGCTGATATCCCCAAGATCACCGCGGTGTAGAGCTCGCCTTTATGAATGGCCAATATTCGATCATTCAGCAGTAGTACCCAAAGGAACATTGCCGATGAGATTGTCAGCAGAATATGGAGAGCAATCTTCAGGTGACCTTGAAACATGTCCGCCAAATATGACGCCGTCAGACTTAAAGCGCTGCTGAGAATGATCGTCCACACAGCTAGTCTGTCCGCTTCTTCCTGAAGTTAGATGTCCTGATTTTCTTTCAAAATTTTAGAAGTTGAAATTTCGGAACGTTAATATCGTTAGATATTAAATCTCGATGCACTTTGGTACATTCAGTTTTGAAATATTGAAGACAAACATTTTTTTCTTCAAACCATGCTGACCTGTGCGATGCTAGAGCCAAAGGTCATTGGCATCATTGCCAACCAAGGTCCACTCACTCCTTGACTAAGAGCAGCAGCCAAGCAGAGACTCCACATATTTTTATTCCTATAGATAATAGTTTCTGGTCTGTCATTAGTTAGATGATATTCGAGTGCAGAGCATGTGATCTCTTTGGAAAATAAATTGCAGCTCTGTTAATTATCCCACTAAAACTTGAATATTTTTTTAATTAGGAGTTATAAGAGTTTTTTATATTTACTGTTTTTTATAAAAACAATCTTAGTTTTGAGGGATAGCATAGTTAAATAGAATAGAACAATATATTTATATGGCTTTAATATTAAAAAATATATCCTATGCATTTTTTTTGTTAAAGCTAAGTTAATTAGAATATCAGTATATATTCAAAATGAAAAAAAAACTATGAAAAAAAATATAAAAAGGATCCATCCCTTGTGGGGATCGAACCCACGACCTTTGGATTAGAAGTCCAACGCGCTATCCTCTGCGCCAAAGGGACTTGGTACTCCTCTGAGAAATGAAAGGTAAAGAGCGTGTGTTAATCTATCTACGAGAGAGTGCTTGTTTTTGAGAGAGAGGGAAATTGCCTAACCATGTTAAGATTTTACCTCAGGAGATGTAGAATCGATTTTGTGAGACCAATACGTTCGGAAATTTTGGAAAAGGCGACCGAATAGCAGGGTTCTTTAGGAAAAAAACACAAGATGCCTGTCAAGATCAGAAATTGACCAACGAATTCTGGAACGATTACAACTTAATTAAAGTTATTTACGGCTCGAATAGTTTTGTTTCTCTCTTTGAACGTACCGATCCTCATAAAAGATAAAATTTGCGCTCTCAATGCCACGGAATGCGTCTTATCGAAAATGGTACTCCCGCTGAAACTCAGTTTCCACGTTAAAGAGGTAGAATTAAACGCAGCTGTGCTTCCCACCACGGCCGGCCCAATTAGATAGGAAACTGCCATTCCCAATTGATTGCAAGCGGAGGATATTCCTGCAATTGTGACAGATTCACTCAAAGATATTCACAATAATATATGTACAATGTAATTACATTAAATGTACAACTTTAATGACAATAACTACTGTTTTTATTTATGATTTGTTACTTTACAACTATAACCCTAACAGCACGCGACGCACTGCGTATCATCCCATTTTCGTACTCATTGTACTGTGATCATCTGTGACGTACTAAGTTGAACGCTAGAACGTCACTTATAGTATCATTCAGTTTTCTTTCGCGCGCGAATGTTCTCAGATTTCACTCAGGGATACGGAAATGATACGTACGCTTTTCTATCGCGTGCGTACATTCTCAGGTTTGACTGAAATGATACATACGCATTTGTATCGCGCGCGTATTTACTCAGAACGTACTCAGTCGATCGCAGTACATATGAGAACATTCTGAGATGATCGCAATATACGCATTGCGATCTACTCAAAACGTCCTCAGAACGTCCCTGTGCTGTTAGGGAACAGAACAAGTGCGACGCTAACATAGAATATAGTGGAATAATGGTAGTTTTAATTATACATATTAGCGAATACCGGTGGCAGTTGTGCGTTCTCCGGGAGAGAACCAGATCGCGGAAACGAGCGTCGTGGCAGGACCGAGGATCACTCCCGATAATCCGTTCAGTATGGCTGCGGTGTGCGCTGTTCTGAGTGAGAAAAGTATCCTCTTTTAACCTCGATCATTAATTATAATCCATTCAAAATGTAACGTACATTGTGAAAATGTTCTCATTGGAGGAAACACATCGAATGAAAGTTGCTAAGGTCGACAGAATTGCCGCCATTTGTAGAGGCATCAACAGATCTGGGAGGTATTTTTATATTCGATTCTAATATTGATCGTCGTTATTAATGTTTAATATCATTAATATTATTAACATTATATTGCTCATATCAATTGCCATGTCACATATAATTGTTGTATTTATTGTTATTATCATTTATTGTTAACATATTTGAGACATATTGAATAAAAATAGCGTATTTGACATTACGTATGGCGTTTACAAGGAGACCTTTATTGTAGAGAAGCCAACAGCATGGCACGCAGCATGTAAGATAGCTGATGCATCCCCAATTTGAGAGCAGGGCTACCAAAGACTGGTTCCAGCCTGGGAAGGCCAATAAAACAGAACCCGCGATCGGGCCCCAAGTGTTCCACACGCAGCTTTGCATGCACAGAAGCGCGCAGAAAAGAGCCAAGGCCAGCCAGGCCTCTTTCCGAGATTTGAGACACGACTCTATCAAGTTGGAAGTCTCGTCTTGGCTACCTGCGGATACGATCGGATCGCGCATTTAACAGCATCAGTCAACGATGTGAGTATGGTATCGATAATATGACGCGAGGACGCACGACGGGATATGTAGTTTCGACGTAATTCTAAATTTCCTGTACTGTGCGCCAGTTTCCGCGAACGTATCTCGATGTTTCTGAATATCCTTTTGCTGCTCCTCGGAAACTTGCTGGGCAAACTGCGACACTTACATAACCGCGTCATCTCAATTAAGATCATCGCGTTGGTGTCGATGGCAAGAATTAAGAATTAATCAGCAACGTTCAAAGGACTCATTGCTGAGTACACACGGTGATCCGTTTTTTAATTTGGCAATCGAGCCAAATTAAATTCTGTGCTAAAATCAATGAAACTCATCACAGGTGTAATAGGATCTTATCTGAATGATACAATATTAGATTCCATCTATCAGAATCTTATTGCACGATATCAAATGAGAATTAAAAGATGAATCAAGTGCAGTAGTGTTTTCATGTTTCTAATACTTTCCAAGCCTTAACATAAACTTTTAAAAAAATCTTTGTGTCCCGTTTTAATATTATTAAAAAAGTTAAAAATAATTCAATATTTTAATATATAAAATTTTTGTTGCTACAATTCCGTTCTATTTATTCAGCATCGATCGAGCCGAAGCTACACCGCGTAGCTTCGCTGTCTCGCTGCCTCGACCAAAAAAGGAAACGCAATAACAACAGTAATAATAATAATAATTCGTTCTCTACAGGAACGCGTCAATAAACGGCGCACACCTGCCGCTGGTCGTCGTTGCCTCGTTGTCGTCGTTATCATCATCGTCGTCGTCGCGTCGTCGTCGTCGTTGTCATCGTCGTCGTCGTCGGTGGTGGCGGCGGCGACGACGGCGTCGCGTATTGACCGCGGGGATAACGATAATTGTATTGTCGCATCGTCGCCCGACTACGACGACGACAACGACGACAACGACTACGAGGACGACGAGGAGGAAATCAGCGTGAGCGTAATAATCGTAATGCCGACAATAGGCGGCGCACAAAGGGAATTAGACACCCATATATACAAGCGCGTGCGAAACCCATATACTCGCGCGAGCGCTCGCGTTGCCCGGCGCGCGGAGCCGCGCGCATGCCTCGCATACCCCGTTTAGCATCCTGCCGCCGTCGGGGTTGGCTCCTCTCTAATTACATCGATCTCCACCCGCCACCCGATTGGTCCGGCATCCAGCATCCGCCTCCGCCGCTCCACCGCCGTCGTGCAGATAAATCTCACGCGAACGTGAAACAATCGGATCATCCGGGTAGTCACGGGGGGTGAGGCGAAATCCGGAGGGAGGAGAGGAAGATACGGTCCATGATGATGCTGTGAACGCGCTGCGGAGAGCGGCTGCAGCGGAGTTTTTTTAGCTGCTGCGCGTTTAATAGAGATTGCGTGGGAGCTTGTTGTTGTCATTGTTGTCGTTGTTGTTGCTGCTTTTATTTCGTTGTTGCTTGATCTTTTGAGGGATGGGATGTGTTAATGCGGATGGGACGGATCTTTGAATTGGGGATTATCGAGATGATATCGCGATATCGTGTGAAATGGAAGTAAAATGAAATGAAATATCATTATTGAATGTTAAAACGGTATTGAGATTATATTTTATTTTTACACAGAATTTCCTGCACAGTTTGTTGAAATATTCCAATTGAATTACAATTACACACACACATATTCGATAAAATTGCAAAATTACTGCACGAAATTATACGCAAGCTACTATGCTTTGTATGTGGGAATTACTGTTGAAGTTTGGATTTGGAAAATAAAATTTCAAAAATTTAAAAGTTTTCAGAGAAACTTAAATATATAAGACTACGAGAGTCGTATAAAATTTAACTCTCTCTCGTCGTGTTTCACAAATTCGAACTCGCTTAAAATTCTACAATTGAAAAGAAAGAAAATAATAGATATGTTAGCGGTAGACCATACTAGGAGAGTGATATGGTTTTCAATCTAAGATTAAAATCAAAAGAGGAAAGAAGTAGAGAAGCATTCGAATGCCAATAAGTAGCGATAATCAAGGCGTAACAGGACGCGTCGTTTCACCGCGAGAAAATTGAAAATCCGGAATGAACCCAACCAGTAATCTCGCTGTTCACGCTAAACCGCGCGCGTTCTTTCATTCTCGTTCGTGAAAGCCCCCTTTCATTTCCTCGCGAAGCAACGCATGATTGGTATCGCGGTTATTAAAATAAAGTTGTTTCGAAGCTGCTCTCTCTCCCACTATCTTTCTGACAATTTATTATCACTTGCTTTATATTGAAAATTAATATATTCTGTGAATAAATTAATACACACACACACACACACACATGTATGTATGTATATATGTATATGTTCTGCAAATATTCTTATGTGCAAGAAGAAGATGCAAGTAAAATTATCTAATGAGAGTTACATAATTTCACTTGAGACATTTAAAATATATTTTGTCTCTTTTGTCTTTTTACAGGTCGAAAACTTACAGAAAGATGAGAAGACATCTAAAATTGGAAATTGAAAACTTGCCGTGCAAGATGATCTATCGCTTGACGCGATATTCTCTAGACATCACTTGACGTTCAAAGCACCTCCGAATTGTAGAGATGAAACCAGGATATCTCTGAGGATATCGCATGTTTATCCGTCCAGGAAGCGAAACTTTCGGCCACAAATGCGGCTGCACGTGCGGCTTCGCATAGGGGCGGCGCAGCGCCGCATGAGAAAGAGAGGGTGGCGGAGGAGTGGAGAGGCATCTCCGGGAGAAGGGAGCATCCCCCTACCTTGGTCCTTCACCCTAGTCAGCACGAGGTGAGAGAATGGACGACAGCCAGGTGATTCAGACGCGCGTGTCACCCTGCAGAGACCGACGTTCTCCAGCTCGCGAATCTGCGTTGCGACGCTTCGCCAATTTGTTTCGAGACGCCGTATACAGGGCGAGTCTCAACTCGGTGCTCCTGCGAAGATCATTTCTCTTGTGCTCTTAATCGGAAAGTTGTGCTCCTGTGTAATAAACATTGACAGTTAATATCGGCACGCAAGCAATAGTTTCAGTATGAGATCATGTGAAGAAAGAGAATCGAGGTAATTAATGAAACGCGTAAGAATCTCGTAGTAAAAGAACTCGAGAATAAATGGGCTGAATTTAAAGATCCTCCAACCATTGGAAACTTTTATTCCCAAAGTTGCGAGACTTTGAGTCGTGAAAGTATGAAGAGTCAAATTCTGATGTTCAGGAAATTCAACATTCGAGAGTTTTGAAACCTTTAAACACTGGACACCTGAAACTTCTTTGATTTTTAAACTCTGGAAGCTGAAGTTGAAAATATTTGGATGTAGGAAATCCTGAATGCATTTTATCTGGAACCACATTCCACATCTGCATATTGAAGATTCATTCCTCTTCACTTGCGGAAAATACTTCACGTCTGAGGATCTATCGGTTCATTTCTCGTGGGAAGATCAGTCTACATTCGAAAGAACTTTCGGTACTCGTTCTTTTTCACTCAAGAAAAAGATTCTATATCTCGTACGACTTGCGCCTTTATCAATTCTTCTTCGTTTACAAGAAAGTCGACAATCTTGCGATAACTTCATCTTCATTCGAAAGAATCTTTCTACGTCCGACGGTCTGTGAATCTCATGGACCATTTGATCTAGACATCATTATCATCATCATCGTCATTCCTTTAAATGTCTGCGAAGAAGACAAGAAGACCGTCGTCGCCGCGACGTTTCTTTGCGCGGCTCTATGGTCACTTAGAAGCGACTAAGAAGACGGAAGACGACGAGGACGAGGATCGCGTACGGAAGAGTCTGGACTCATCGCCGGAAATCACGGAAGAAGCACCGCACGTGCTTCCTGGCGCGCCTGGCACGCATGAAACATTACATGTGAGTATAACTAGACACCTCATAATGCTGAACGAGTAAAACTCCAAATATAAACTTGCAAAATCTAGTTTAACATTTTCTTTTTAAGAAAGGAGAGAGAGAGAGAGAGAGAACCTAAATTTATTTCCTTCAACACTTTTTATGATTAATTCTACCAAAAATTTATAAAAGGACAATTCTTAAATAATTTTTTTGAGAAAGAAGATATTGATTCTTAAGATTGATTAAATCCAAATCGCGGATTAATGGGAAAATATTCAGCTTTATCGTCGTTATTTTTTTCGTTAGGCGTCGCATTCCAAAGATCTCGAGGATGTGTCAGAAGATATAGCACGGGGTAAAACATCCGAGGAGAAAGGAGCGGAGAAGGATTCAATGCTCGCGGGTATAAGACTGCCCTTCTTGCACGGATTTTTCCCGAGGCCACCCGGTCACCCTTTGCACCTGACGCAGCTCGCACATCCGCCCGCGTTGCCGCCGCATCTTCATGGCCTGCCAAACCATCATCCCATAGCCGAACACCACTTTCAAGGATTCTCAGCTTTTCGTAAGTTTTTGTTAAGGCCATTTTGCGAATCTTTTTCAGCCTTTTCGAGATTAATCGTAACATAACGAAAAAAACAATAAAGACTTACGTCGAATATATTTCAATTAAATTCAATATTAACTGTTTAATAAAAATTGTTCACTATTGAGCTTTCTTAAGTACTTGTTTTGTTTCTTATCAGCTAATTTAATATGACTGATGTCGAGTAATTAACTTTTTAATATTGATTTCTTGAAATTTGAATATTCAGAGACTCGGACTCTTGATATAATGATTTTTTTAAATGTCGATTATTTTATTAACTCGATTTTCCAAATATTCTGATATCTTGTGATTATAATTTACAGCAGAGCACCTGTTTCGATTCAAGTTACAGACTATCGAATAAAAGATTAAGAAAACTCAGAAAAACTGTGCAAAGCTCGTTAAATCCATTTTCGTTAAATAGCAAGTGATCATATTGAAACTTTTCTAACTCTAGGACGATTGTGCCAATTGAACGTACGTTATTGAGACATGGTTTGATATCACGTGCATATTACGATTTTGGGATTCGGCGTACGTTTCACGAAGCATTCTGCATCCATGTATGCGATACAATTTTCGACCAAAAAATACACACATATCGTTCCACTGTACGTTCGTCGTGCGAGCTCTACGTCGAGCACGGGGATATGCACGCGGAAATGCAGGCGGAACTGCATCATGCATTTCCAAAGGACTCGGACGACGTGTCCTCTCTCTCCTCGTTTTCTCCCTCTCTCATTCTGTAAGCTGGGGATCGGAAGACGTCTTTACGTTTGAGTATTCGCGAATCGGTAAGCAGATTTCGCAATGTCGTATTATATGACGCCGGACGGACGTGGCCACCGTCCGTCCATCCAAAGGGAGAGTATATTGAGGTTTTCTTCGACCGTAACAACGGTTTGTCGCTATGAGGAAATTATTTCCCCGGAGGAATACAACACATTTTAGAAGAGAGGAGTCTCTTGCCTGTTGCGAGTCTTCCTATCGTTTCGAAAATCATCCAAATATTCGGAATTGGATATTATATATTATAGAGCGATATCAGTCCAATCGGATTTCTCTTTACAATCGGTGAAACGACAGATCTCTGGCCCGGATAATCGTCGAAGAGCGGAGGAGATTGCTGATCCTTCCGAACAGTTTCACGATTAGATCCTCGAAATACATCCTATAGATGTTTCTTTCGGGACGTAGCGATTGCGGTAATGAGGAGGAGATAGAAGAAAAGTGGAATTAGCGAATTTTACTCCTCATCTGTAAAAGTTTGGCAGAGTTGTCGTGATAAAAACACATTGCAAGGACAAACGCATACGTGCGCACACGCTCATGTGGGTTTATCCCGCTTCAACGCCTCGTCGCGATATTGTGATGAGATTACGAGACGCAGTTGGCCGCCCCTCAATGCGAGATACACGTCGCGGTATTCCCTCAAAATCAGTTCTCCTCCTACCCCGGCCCTTAAGCCTCGAGTCGGCCCAACGGCTTGACTCGCCGGAAAATATACGGGGTGTTCGTAAGTCGCAAATAGTTTTCGTATCTTGGATCTCGCGTGATTCCTGTTGCGCGGGTCAATTTTATCGATCTGAATTCTGACATGAAAAAGGTAATAAACGTGATGTCCTGAGAGGATCGGTGGCATCGTGAATCGATGATCGTGAAATCTGTTACGTGGATATCCTTCCCACTTGTACAACAAGTTTTTCCAGTTAAGGAGAAATCGCATCTCCTCAAGACCCGCTCTGAGTCGCCTCGAGGGGTTGTGAGGTTCAAGGAGCAATTAGGATCCCGTATCCGTTTCGCGCCAGATTGAACGAGACCTCCGGACGGAAGCCTTGGTTTCCGGTGTCGCTTACTTAACCGTCGCGTCCTAATTATCCTATCACGTGGTGAGGATGAAATTACAGCGCGGTTGAATTTACCTCACGGATCTGTGATCGAACGTGCTTGCATAAATAAGGATCAAAATAAAGTTGCATTCAGGAAAGCGCGAATTGTGGCACGCGTGCATTCAACTGCATCCTTAAATTCCAATTATCGAAGGATCGGCACGCGATTTCTGTATTAAGGGTCGATGGACCATGGTTGTCCGTTATTTGAAGATCCAGATGTTTAGGGGAATTTCCTGCGAACGAGAACAGTCTCGTCGCGTGATCGTCCTAATTGTTTCACGCCGATCAAATCGTTCAAAATTATACACCGGAATCGCGCAGTCATTCATTGTTCGCATAGTTTCAATTCCACATTCAGTCTTGTCTATATTCACTTTAATTGTTTATTACTTACAAATAAAATCAGGATGTTGGATGGATATCACGTGTCATGCGAGTTCTTATAGAAAAGTTTACAAAACATCTAAGACTGGTTCTTCTTTCACAGTGGCGCGCAGAAGAAGAAAAGAAGGTCGCCCGCGAAGACAGAGGACGACTTTTAGTGGCGAGCAGACCCTGAGGTTGGAAGTCGAGTATCGGCGTGGAGAATACATCTCAAGAGGCCGCAGATTCGAGCTCGCAGCATCTCTGAGACTCACCGAGACGCAAATCAAGATCTGGTTCCAGAACAGGCGCGCCAAGGACAAGAGAATTGAGAAGGCACAGCTGGATCAGCAATACCGGTACATTTGTTCGATTACCTTTTCGTCCTTAGTTTTTCATAATAACATACCTCTGCAAAAAATATTAAGAAATCTCTGGATATCTTTTGCGAATACGTTACGTCCATAGTCGGGATATTATTTAGTGCCTGTTATTTCTCAAAGCTACTTAAATGGGCGCACCCAATTCCTTCTTGTTGAAGTTATCATGGGAAAAATAAGAGGACCCTGGCAGACTGCACATGTAGCATATGGCAATTCTCGCACGCATCCCACGTCCTTTGCATCCCACGGCTTCCAGCCGAATCGTTATCTTGTCAGTGTGATGTATTGCACTTTCGATCTGGTTATTAGTTCGCGATCGTTAGTTTCGTCAGCTGTTCTCTGAATTTTACGCTTTGGGCGAAGTAATCTTCGGACGAGGGAAAAACCGAACACAAAATTATATTCCTCGATTAAGTCCAAGCGGTTTCTCTCTGAGCAGAATTCATTTGAAAGCAGAATTTTAGGTCACACATTGATCTCTTCTCTCGATTAAGGTACATCCGATGTTTTCAGGACACTTTATATTAATTTATAATTTATATCTTATAATTTGCACCTGAGTATATTTACTTTGCTGAATCCGATCATATTTAACAATACTTATATTAGTTATTTATTTCAAGCTCCTAGACCCTTCTAGACCTCTAGTCTTAAAAATCACATTCCTTGATTTTTACATTCGTGTGATTTTGCAATTTTTTCAATACTTCAACTTTTCTTTTCTTATTCTTAAGATCTTTCATTATTAACTTTGTCACCCTAAAACATGAGAATCATCTCACCTGAAATCACATTTACGATTTTACCACGAACAATTGCTCTGACAATAACGCTCGCAATCTCGTGGGGAGGAGATTGCCCAACCGGGAATTTGGCGCAGAGGGAGGCATCAGTCGGGACGTCCTGGCGGCGCACAAAGACCGAAATTTGTACGAGCTTCTCCTGCTCCTCCTCTTCCTCCTTTCATATCGCTTCGATCACAATAGCGAAAACATAATCCTACTTAAGGCTATTTAGCGGCGTATCGCATCGAGAATCACCCCGCGGCCGAACCGCAGTCGAGCGTTGCCCTTCAGGGTCCATCACCGCAGCACCCCCTCGCAACCCTGCAGCCCTTGCCACCCCTCCATGGTGGCCTCGGCGTTATTCAGTCGATATGCACCTGACGCTCGATAAACTGGCGGATAAACGACGGATAAATGCATTTCGCCATGTTAACCGCGAGATTTTCTCATCCACTTGTCGCACCCTATGTATCCCCGGGATGTTTTGGAGAAGAGAACAAAGGGGTTGATCTTCTCAATTTGCCCTAAACATGAAAGGATACTCACGAGACGTGTTTCCTCTTTCGAGTTAACTCAAAATATAGAAACCTGAAAATAATTATCGTTGCAATATTTTCTATCTATAAAAGTAATCAGAAAATCTTGGTCCCAGATTGCTACTGATATTAATATTAACAAAAAAAAAGAGAACATTTTCTAATCGGATGTCATGTCGACTACTTACGCTATAGAGGGCTCGATTATGAGTTTCTAAGTGGTTAAGATCTTGATGAGAAGTGATTCACAATAATAGTCTTTATTTAACCTGCCTTGGTATTAAGAACGAGCGGAGAGGGTCGTTGCTCCAAACACGCGATCCGTAGTTTAGGTAACGATTTGGTTATTCTTTCCTAATGTGTTTCGCCGAATAAAAGCCTTTCTCTCGAACAAATGAAATTACTGGGATTGATCGTAGTGCAGTTACGCTTTTGCAGTCTCCTTGAACTTGTTTCTAACAAACGGAAATAATCTTGGTTGATTACCAGATAATATCGAACATATGCAAAGACTCAGCAAGATACTCTACTCGAAAAGATATCTGCAATACTCGTAAGTTTATAAAAAACAATTCCATAATTAGGAGTGAGTAAAACGAAATTTTATTTCGCAGGAACTTTGCCGTTTCGAATGGCTTGGTGAACCTGCCACTTTACAACGCGGCGGGATTCTGCGGCCTGTGTCTGTATAAGGATACCTATGGTTTGGCAACTAATCACTCCTGCGTTTCCGGTAATCCCATCGTCGCCGACTCGTCCTTGAAGGATCAGCCACACTACAGCAGTAGCGGAAGCGAAACGTCGGACAATCCGCCGAATCTTGTGTCCACGATGTAATTAAATTTAATGCAATCGCTATTGATTATTTAATGTGTCGAAGTTAAATTAGACGTATAAATATACAAGAGAGAGAAAGAGAGAGAGAGAGTTGAAACGATTTTTCGTGATAGCCTTCAGCAGGGAGAAGCACATATTATGATCAAAATTTTTATAAAGGATATAAAAGTAGCAGCTGCAAGAATCAGCTCCCTATATATTGATTTTTACAAAAAAAAAAAAAAATAATACCGAATAAAATCAAAAGACGAATTTTAAAACAAGAAATTTTCAGAATCCAAGATATGAAAAAAATTTGCTCAGATTCATTAAAAATTCTTGAATCCGATATTATTGATTTAAATAAAATTAACTTATTAAGTTATTATGTACATTTAAGAATCCCCCTTGCTTCTTATTTTTAAACATGCTAAACGCATAAGATCGATTTGATAAACGGTTAAAAAATGTAACAAATATCGCAGATGCAATCGATCAAATTACCATTAATTTTAGTAATTATAGAGTTGCATGTATATTTCGGGAGTTTGGGGAGAATGAAACGATCTTATAGTCTAGAAAAGAAATTTATTAAAACGTATAAAAATAGTTATAATCTAAATACATAGAACAATAGATCCTCAGATCGATATCTGATTTTTAGGATCTTTATGACCTTTGCCTGTCCAAAAGTCTTTCAACTCCTTGGATCTGTAAATGTAAGAGCTTTTAGGCTCTGAAAAAATTAGATTTCAACCTGAAATCTATAAAGTCACGGAGAATCTCAAGATGCTTTCAATCAAAACTTCTGATTAATCTCTGAATTTGCTAATGAGAATCTCGATATCAAAAATATATTTTTCGTGTTTCAGTTTCCACGAGAAAAAAAGATAATATTTTTATTTCGGAATGTAAAACTTTAGAATCTCTATTTCTTCAATTTGTGAAAATTCTTGATCTTTAGAGAAACTCTTGTTATCACATCTTTGATGCAAAAAGATATTTCAATTTTTATAGAACTTTTAAGTTATTTTTAATTGCCCAGTTTCTGAATTATTACTATGATTTTATGACTCGTTGATTCTCAAAAACGTATGAAAAATTTCTTACTCTGTAAGTTGTTTGGCAATTTTATTTCTTACATCTTGAGAATTCCTGTGTTCGAATAGCACAAATTAAATCTCATTATACTTTCGAAGTATTTGTTAGAGCATATTGCTAGGTAAGGAAATAAATTGTCACTTAAACTTACCTCGGCCGGAGGGCAACCATGGAGAGTTGGCGGTAGAGGCACGCTGTTCTCTTCAAGTACCGGTCCAAACGGTAAACCAGAAATTAATGAAAACGAAAGACAACAATTAATACAGTGAAAGTAAAAGAAAATCTCAGTAACAAACATCCTGCCTGCTCTAAGCAAGAGAACTCAAATTAATTAAGTGAGAATGAACCGTTTATTGTTTTTATCATTGTCCTTCTCACGTCTTGCCTAGACTTTTTCAACTTGTTAAATTTTATGAAATCTTTTCTCTTCTAACAAGACATTTATACAATTTTTATTGCCTTTTAATTTCTCTTATTGCCATATTATAAAGTCTTCTAGAATCTCGAGTTCTTATGCAAAACACCTTAAACACCACAATCAACCTTCCAAAAATTTTAAATGACAAAGCTTTTTAAACCTAGGATACCTGCTAGTAAACAGCTTCCGTTGCTAGACAACATTTTCTTTTAAGTTTCAGTACTCTTCTGCCCAAGCTGCGATATACTTTGCCTGATTGAATTTTGTGTTAAAGATATCTAAAAGTATTTGATGCCGAAGATCCTCCAAGCGTATATTTAACACTATATCTCTAGATTCTCGAACATGATACACAACGGAAAAGCATGTGTCTCTTGAAGACGATACTTTTGCACAGAGACTCTCGTGTGCATTAGTGAAGATGTAAAAAAAATTATATGAAAAAAAAAAAAATAAAAATGTATATTAAGACAGCAACGATGCAACAGCGGTACAAACGAAAGTGTGCTTCCCGTTATGTCTAAAGCTCTTTCTGCGAAAGACAGGTGAACCGAATGGGGTTGGCAGAAATCTACTACGACAAGAATATATCTAATCTTCGATAAAGTGATGTATGCATAATTTGAAGCGAAAAATATCACGACATCGTATACAATATCGTACAATATTTGTCGCTTAATATTACACTCTGATTCTGGAAATTATCACACGCAAATATTAAAAACTCAATTCGGATCTTGCTTCGAATATTGATTCCTGCCGATTCCTTCTGATTCATCAAGCTTCCACAAGCTCTCTATGAACAACAACACTCTGGTATAGCAATTGACTGGTATAGAGTTACACAGGGTGCAACTTAATCGCCGAAGGACACTGTAAAACAATACTGTAATATCATGCACACACACTTGTTGCCATTCAGCACCCTATATATATATATATATGTATGTATAGATATATTTATATGTATTATATATAGATATGTCTAAGCACAAATGAGAGTGACGAAACATTCCTACCTGTAGTTGCAAAACAGAAGCTAGAGCAAGAAGCCTAGCAAACACTAGTCCTGTCTGTCGTAGCCTGAGAATCCTTTCTCTTTTTTTTTTGTTCTCTCTTTCTCTTTTCCCTTCTGCTACCTGCCTGCCTTCTAGCCTCTTCCTGGCTTTTAAGCTGCTAATCTTCGTCACTAAACTTTGGATCCAAACTGTACTAGGCTAACTATAGGACGCTATTCTAGCACCTTCAATGCCGCTCTAAGTTGTCATCTACAGTTCTAAGAGATAAAGAGCAGAGGACTTGAAGAAACGTTCCGGGTTAGGACTTTCCTCGGGAAGTGATAGGTTTTCAAAGAGCTTGCGAGTTTTTTTGTCAAATCTTCCGCGATGAAAAAACTACGGAAGACTAAACTCGAGATTTTCTGTATCAATGATTTAATGCTGCGGGCATATAATTATATTGGATAGAGGACATCGGCAACACTTTCCAATTCACTGACTATAATAATACATCCATTTCTATATTGTTCTTGTTGTACATCTGCAAGTTTCTACTTTTGCATATACGGGGTGAAACCCATTTTACGTCACTCCTTTGAATATGTTTCTCGTGTAACTTTTATGATATTATATTACACATTGTATACTTTTACTTTATTGACAGAAACGTAAAAACACGGAAGTTACACGAAAAAGATATTCTAGGTGGTGACGTTGGGTTGGTCCATCCGGTATACTTGATCCTATCGTTAGCTTTCGATTTAAACTTACAACCTATCAACTTTACATCACGAAATTAAGACAATGCACAACAAAGGTTTCTGGTCAATTTTATTTTGTCGACTAACTCTTAAACACTTATACAGCTTTATAGAATCATTGATCTATCCTAATTAGTTATCTCATGAATGATTTTTTTATCGCCATACACGCACACACATTTTCTCTCCCTGTCTCTTATCCTTCCTAATGTAATAATCTTCCTATGTATAAAGTCTTCTTCCCTGCCTGGTCAATATTTATGTGCAAGTTCTTGCGAAGAACGTACAAGTACATTTTGGAAATAGTGACAGTTTTTACGATAAGAGGATATAAGCGATGGAAAAATACGATACTTAAAAAAAGACGAAATGAATGAAAAAGAAAAGTAACAGACATAGCCTCTCTCATCATGTGCTAACATTTAGATGACTTTTTTCCTTCTTTTTCTGGCCTGATTGTCCTGCCTGCCTGCCTGAATGTCTCTGACTTCCTGCCTGTTCGTCGCCTTGCCTCTCTAGCCTGATAGCCTGCCTGCCTGCAAGTTTGTCTGTCTGCGTGTTTGTCTGCCTGTCTGCCTGCCTGCCTGCACCGATACTAAACAGTACAGAAGTATTGGCGACTAGAGGCAACAAGTAGTAGAAGTAGTAGTTTCACCTGAGGTTCAACAGTTAAGAAATCTGTTAGTCAAGCTCCCTACTAGCCTGTGAAAAGGACCGATCGGGTCGCGCGAGCCAGGGATTCCCGAAACGTCGGATTTGTTTAGGTCTTTAAATTTGTATAAAGGCGTCTCCTGTCTGGTTGTTAGAAACTCCTAAATCCGCAGTCTTAATGCTTATCTTTACTTATATAACTTGCGACTATATAAGACCTATTAAAATTCCTTAAAGTTTCTCTGTGAAAAATCTTGCGAAATCCGTTGCTTTTTTAGCCTTTACTTTCTAGACTTTCAAGCTTTTTAGATCCATAGATGCATAAATTTTTATGTTCCACGATTCATAGGTGTATTCTAACAAATCGTCTGACAGTCATAAAACCTTGATTTTTTGTACATATCTTTGAACTATCTGTCCTTCAAACATTTAAATTTCTATAATTTAAAAAAATTTCAGATATTTGAATGTAATCACATGGAAAATGTAATATTACATTTAATATAATAACTTTTTTACATATTTTTTACATATTTAAACTTGGATTGTAAATTTCAAAGAATAAAAAATTGTCAAGCTGCTGTCTAATTGCCAAAGTGTGTTCTACAAATTCAAAAGACAGAAATCTTAAATTTCCAGACTGCAATTTAAATACTTGAATCCTTGGTATCTTAAGATTTTCAAATCCTTGACCCTGTAGACCCTCTCAGAGATCCTAATACACAGATACAAAATTACGTACACTTGATGCTAATTGTTTGTAAAAAAATCCCTTATCACTTTTTATGGACGCAATGAAATCGTCATTCCGCTTATTTATATACGCATATAAAATAAAATATAAAGTGTTTTCGAGTAAATTGCATTCATTCAAAAAATATAAGAATAATATACAAAGTAGAAATAGACTGTTGTTTCGCTATCTTCGCCTAAGCTAGTAGTTCTCTATTCTACACTTTTAAACTTTGCTCAGAAATGTGTGTTAATCGCGAAAAATTTGATTGCTTGAAGTAATTTGCTGTGAAGTAATTAAATCAAGATTCTGACTATGTTAAAAAAAGAAGATAATAAATATAGAGATGCAACAATTGCTAGATGTAATTATGTTCTAACCGCATTGTGTTTGCACAAGCCGTAAAATATCACAATGGTAAGAAGACAATCATTGTGTCCCTCAATTTTGGTCCTCAATAAATTATAATTAGATATCTAAAAAAAAAGACTTAATTTAATTTAATAATAATCCTGAATTAAAGTTTAAATAACTAACGGACAATACCCAAGAATTTATATAGTTAATTTAAACACAAACCTAATCACAGTCTTGTTAATTATTTGATTCATTTTGAAAAATATGTTGACAGTTATAATGTGTAATTTCACTAATCTGTACTATATACTTAGGTTTAAATATATATATGCTGACAAAATTCCGTCCCAAAATTCAAAGTTCAAGTAATAATCTGCAATAAATTATTTGATATTTCCATAATTTCGTGATCACGGGCAATTTAATTAAATCATTCCACTTAAAATAGCAAATGGATAATATTATATTGAAATTATTGTGGTTGTGCTTACCATGTGAGAGAAGGGTATGTCGCATTTTTCTAATATCTCCTTCCACTGCCGCCTCCCCCTCCACCTCCACCCATGTTTCCGCCTCCGAGAGAATTACTGCCGTAACCGCCCTGATTCCCGTATCCACCACCGCCACCTGAATTTCCGCCGCCCATAGGACCTGCAACATTATAAGCAAGGTTGAACTAAATCACGTATAGCGTTTTTCATAAGAGATTAAACCTATCGTCAACTAGTTGCGAATCTCGATAACTGCACACATGACGGACGCTCCTTGTGCAACACGCCGTCTCCATCTTTTAGTAGAATCCTTGTCAAAACGGAAGAAAAGGTAAAACGAGAAACAAGCAACGTTGCTCAAGACGCGTAGTATACTATCTTTTGCTTTCAGGGAGAAGAGTAGCAACCTTGTCCACCGAAAGGTGGCAGCCATCTAGAATTACCGGACTGTCGGCCGCTAGGACCCGAATTAATACCGTAGGGTGCTGGTCTGCCGCCAGAGTTGAAGTTATTGCGCACGGGACCGCCACCGTAACCTTGCTGGTAGCCACCGCCAAAGTTATCATTGCTCCAGTTTCCGCCGCTGTTGTAACCGCCTTGTCCCCCCTGGTTCCATCCGCCTCCTAAAAAATGTAACGTACGATTTTTTATTTATCATATCTGTTGCACGAGATAACGCAAAACTTAATGTTATATCTCCGTTAATTTAGACGTAAATTGAAAAAGACTTTGTATTTGTATTATTTCCGAGAAATAAAGATATTTTTCTTTTTTTAATGAAACATTCATTTGAGATTTAGTAGAGTTCAAATAAGAAGAATATGTTTGTTTGTCTTTACCTTTACCTTGATTTTGATTCTCCCATGGTCCATTACCACCCCAGCCACCTTGATTACCTCCACCGTATCCACCTTGATTGCCGCCGTTGTTCCAATCGCCACCACCACCGCCACTGCCGCGTCCGCCCCAATTACCACCACCCTGGTTACCACCTCGTGGTCCTCTACCTACACCTTGCCCGCCACGATTGCCGCCGCCACCGCCGCCACCGCCGCCGGAAGCAGACGCCATTTCGGCTCTACTTAAAGCCTGTAATATAATACATCATATACGCGACAGAGCAGTACAAATTTAACAAGTAGAAAAATAAAAACTTTTAAGGTTCCTGGTCTTCTGCCGCAGCAATCTTCGTTTATGACGTCACAAAATGTATTAAAAATTATTGCTAAATATATTGAAATAAAATTACATGTTAACACTTAACACAAATAACACTTGCAATCGATCGAGTAAATTTGTAAAATAGTCCAAAAACTTCTCTTTTACTCTAACAATTAATAGTCCTAAAATTAATACAATAAAATTATGAGAAAAAGTCATTTAAAAGATTGCATGTTACATTAATTTTCTGATTATTTGAGTAAAAGGAAAATATTTACTGTTTCATAGATCTGCTTGATCAATTGTATTTTATGAATACATCTTTCAATTTCAATTTTGCAAGAATTTTTGACATATATTTTCTTGCTTCTGACATCATCAATCAAAAGTTTCAAGAGAAACCAGGAGAGAAAAAATGTTCTAAATTTTTGCTGCTACTATTACTATTTACCTTTTTTACATCAACATGCTTGCCACGTATCTGATGATTACGCTGTAGACAGATTTTGTCAACAGGGTCATAATCATCAAATTCCACAAAGCCAAAGCCACGTTTTTTGCCAGTCTCCTTATCAGTTACTATACTGATAGAGTTTATGCTTCCATAACTTTGAAAGTATTGTCTAAGATCTTCTTCTTCATGATCATCTTTCAGGCCACCCACAAAGAGTTTCTTTACCGTGGCTCCAGCTTCAGGTCGACCGATTTCTTGCCGAGGTACTGCTCTCTTGGGCTCTACTACTCTACCATCCACTCTGTGTGGTCTATGAAAGAAATATTATATAGTAGAAAAAATACCTATATTAACATAATTCTGTAAAAAATCTAATATTCTAAAAAAACTTTTATAAGAACAATGATAATATATTGTGATATTTTGGAAGTAGAAATATAAAATATGTTTTCTCACCTAGCATTTTGGGCATCATCTACCATGTGAGCACGGGAGTAAGTAATAAAACCAAAACCTCTGGAACGTTTAGTTTTGGGATCTTTCATCACAACAACATCAACAATTTCTCCCCATTGCTCAAAGTGCTTTTTAAGAGAATCATCTGTTGTTCTATAATCCAAGCCACCAATGAACAACTTTCTCACGTGTTCTGGCTCATTTTTGCCATCCTGAAGTAACAATTGTTCAATATAATTATAATATGAAAAATAAATCCTACTTATTTATTTATGTCAATGGGAATTGTGATAAATGTTGCAAGATCCATCTTGCAAGATAAAAATTTTCAATCAGAAATTGGAGAATCCCATAAGATATAATCGCGATTTTTCTCTCATTAAATTGCTAAAAAGCATACCGGAAGTAATATATTCTGTATTACAAATATGACACTTTGTATCTTGAAAATATCTCATAGTTTCGTGCTCATCTCTAGTACCGTGAGCAAATTGATTACGAGAAATTATATACTCTATTGTGCAATCGTAATACAAACGTAGTACATCGTAGTACATCGAATCGATCAGAAAGACGCCATTTAGTGTTGCGACAATCGCGTGGTTAATGATACATTAGATTCACGATCGTCCAGCAAAATAAGTACTTACGTCATGTTCCATCTTCACCATTTTGAGAGATCTAGACAGGGTTGCGGAATTTTTTATTAAGGGAAACACGAAATAAAATGAATATTCAACGCGCAAAGTCGGCGAGGTCACACGTAATCGATCTCGAATTCTCTCCGTGCACTCGAGTGAACCCCGTGACGTCGGACAAAGAGAAAGATCTTCGCATGCGCAGAATGATTACAGTAATGATAGTTACGGCAGATTTACAATTAGCGCTTTCAGCAGAAAAAACGCTCAGTGAGCACTCGATGTTTATTGGTTTATTCAGTTGGTTCCCTATATGTAGACCAATTACGTTTACGAATCGCTCAACAGTTGTACAAATGTTGTGTGTGCTAAACGCGCCCATTAGTTTTTACTCTATGGCTCCTGCACACAGGACGCGGTAATGCTTGCCGCGCGGCGGTAGTCCGCGTGACAGTCAATTAATATGTTGTTCTTCCGTAAGAGCTAGAAGGTTATTACGGAAAGCAGCATATTGATTGGCTGTCACACGAATTTCTACGAAGGACGACGCGACGCGTGACGTGCTAAATGGGAACGCACCCGAAGTCGCCCGGAGCATTTATTGTGTGAGAGAGAGAGAGAGAGAGAGAGAGAGAGAGAAAGAGAGAGAGAGCGCATCTCTAAGTCTAGTCTATAACCTTGCTTTAAGGGCCGGTTTCACCAACTCCAGTTAAACCAACCTACGGTTAAATTCTAACTACCAGAAGTGCCAATATCGAGATTGAATATAAATTGTTGAATATAAATTGTTAATTCAGGTTGAGTATGAGGGCCATCACACACAAAATTACATAGCGCATATACATAGCATAAGATCATATGGATCAATGAGCATTGAATATTAAGTCGCCATATTGATGATTGATACTTAATATTCGATGCTCATTGGTCCATACTATCTTATGCTATGCATATGCGTCTATGTAATTTTGTGTATGATGGCCTTGACACTGTTTATGGCAGTCGCATTTAAGTTGGCTACTCTGCTACTTTTAACCTTCGGTTAGCTTAACTAAAATTGGTGAAATCGGCCCTAAGCAACTGACCAACCACAGGGTGGTTTTCAATTGGTTAACACTTCTCGACACACACGTACACAGAAATGCACAAAGTTGGGCACGACTCAATTGGAACAAAGTATGTACTAATGTGTATGTATGTCGGGTAGGGTTAGGATTATTTTTCAACATGCCTATATCTTGGTATTTTGGTAGGTGGTGACACAAGTTGCATTCCAATTGTCGTAATCGTCGATACAACACTTCACATCCTTTGGGCAGCGATCAAATAACTTTTCCCTTAGGGCGGAAACGTGAAAAGTGAAAAGTTTCACGTGAACTCGTGATCTAAACTCGGTGAAGCGTAGAAACGTGAAACTTTTCACGTGCCATGAAATACGCTTAAAGCCCGTATCAGACTAAGGATTAAGATTGAGATTGAATTGAAAATTGGCCAATCAAAGCAAAATTCACCAAACTTGAGTTTAGTGAATTTTGCTCTGATTGGCTAAATTTCAATTTAATCTCAATCCTAATCTATAGTCTGATATGGGCTTTAAGCAACTGGAAAGCACCCACGGTAGCGCTGAATAGCGCTTGTTACGTCCACGATAGATAACTATATAGGGAAATTTGAAAGTAGTGAAATCAGTGACTTACGTGGACGGTCAACAGACTGATGCTTTTGAGTCACTCTGCTTTTCACCGAGTTTACCCTAGGTCTCCGTAGTCTGGCGAAACGATCGATGAATCTGGCGAAAAATCAGCGGTGCTTGTTCTCCTGGCTCGGTCTCGGATGTTCCGACGCTGCGCGGGTTGATGCGGTCCGCGATTCAGAATTTCGATTTCGCAACGTTCGAAATATGAAGGGTAGGCAAAAGTAATTGCAACACAGTCGGATTTTACGACTAATTATAATATTCCAAATAAGTACACGAAAGTTACCAGAGACTAATTATGAGAAGAAATAATTGCTTTCTCTACAAATGCGCGCGTTTTTATATGCCGCTTTGTCGCTGAGAGTCGTTTTCTGATTGACTGATGGAGTCATAGAGAAGGAAGAAATTCATTCGGTATGATCATCGGTATGATGTCACCGCGTCGGTCCTGGGGGTCGATTGTGTATCTCAAAACAGAGCGAAAATGATAAAAGTGAGCAAATTTACTAGAATATTTGTAACTTCATTGGTCAATGCCTAGTGAATTTGTTCACTTTTGTAATTTTCACTCCGTTTCGAGATACACAATCGACCCCCTGAGTGGTGTTTGGATTCAGTTTTCATGCTCCTGTTTATGTTAGCAGCGGGACGCCTTATCGCATTGAGCGATTACGGTTTCTACAGTTGATCCAGCGATTTTAAGACTCTCTAACGACACGCAGTATTCAGCGATATAATTTTAATTATAATATTTAATGTGCGTGAATATACATATGCGCACGTACTTACATCTAGTAACATAGGGATAAAATGTCTAGTGATATCTGAAATCAGACAAGTCGGTCTCCGGTCTATAATAATATATTATTAATGTTTTAAAATAGATCCGGACGTTACACGCTAAGGGCTATCGCACACAAAGCATCGCATCGAGTATTAATTTCATCAAATAAGTTGATGAAATTTTAAGAATTTAATTAACGTAATAGAAAACGAGAAGATGGAGGATGATCCCGTTGTTAAAGAGGTTGGTGTTTTAATTTTTATTTCTAAATTCAACTTGTCATAGATTTAACGTCGAAGTTATTTAGATTAGATCGTATCCTTGGGCACACGTATGCTTGTATTTGGATGGAGATTTAACTTTTAAGTTAATAAAATCGGTAACTATTTTTAAAGGTTACACTTTCTTTTATTTTAATACATGTAACGTGTATTAAAATAAAAAAAATCGGTGAGGTATAATCTTTTATAAATAATTAGCGTAATATCTATATAGAATTAATAATAATACTTTATCACTTTAGCTTACAATGCCAGAAAGACATTACTTCCTCACTTTTGCTCACTACCTAATTTTATATATTGTACATCTTTTGGTATCCCTCATCTTTCTCTTATCTATCCCTATTATCTATTCTTATTCTTACCTATTTCTATTTAATCTGAATTCTTATATTTACCTTCCTATTTTTCCTTTATTCTTCCTTTATCTTTTCTTTTTCTTTTATATTATTTTATATTCATACTTTTTACATTTTACTTTATTCCCTTGTTCTTTCTCCTTTCTTTTTTCTTCCACAATCTTTGTTTAATAACTTTTATTATTATCCTTCCTTTCTCGTTATCTAAACTATTGTTCCATACCTTATTTAATCTTTCCTCTACGCTTTTTCCTAAATTCTTAAACCATGTTCTTACTTCCTCACATTCTTTTACATAATGTTCTATTTTATCTTGTCTTTTTCTGTAGAAAACACATGTAGAATAAATATATTTCTTTTTGTGTGCCTTTATAATTTTATGTATTTCATATTTACACACTCACACACACACACACACATACATACACACATGATAAGGTCAACATTTATATTTTATCTTCAATATTTATTATTTTTATCTTATTTTATTTATTTTATCTTCTATTACTTTTTTCATTGTTTCTTTTATTTTCTACCATTTATCCTTTAGTATAATATTGATATCATATACAATATAAATTGATAAATTATGAGTAAAAATAAAAAATAAAATATTATTATTAAATTAATACAGAAATAATAAATAAAATATCTACTTACTAATACTATTATTGTTTTTTGCTTACAATATTGCTTCTGAAAAATAATATATATTTATGTTTCTTATCAATATAAATAATATAAGTAATTATTATTTAATTATAAGTAATTATTATTTAATTATTTTCAGATACCTGTGTTTCTGTCTAAGACTTTGGAAAACAAACTATTGCTGTTACAATACCCTACGCGTCCTGTAAACAATGACAAGGAAAATTTTGCAGTCTTAAAATCCTGCATCAAACCTAACAGCTTAGAAGTTCAATTAGAACTTGAAGTTGATACATATAGTAACAATTATGATCACAGTAAGGGAGTGCAATTAGTGCTCAATGCAAAGAATGAATCTAAGAGAAATGAAAATATATCTGACAGGTGATTAGAAATTTTGGATTAGATTATTAAAAATTACTTTTCTGATGATTTTATTTATGTGTGTGTGTCCATGTATAAAATTATAATAAAACAAGTTTAAATTATAGAGAAACAAGATAATAGAGAAAAAGTCTACATTTGTAATTGATCTATATTGTAGTACAATTAATATGTTATGTTAATATATTGTATTTATATTAATGTTATGCTTGAATCTAAATTTTCATATATGCTTAAGTAAGTTGTGATAATCATAAGAATAATTATTGTAATATTATTCTTCTCTTATTTTCTTAGTGAACTGTTTGATAAGATTATATTGTCTTCAACACGATCAGTGACAGACTGCTTAAATTATGCGATCGGAATCTTTCAAGACGGCGAGCTTCATATCACGCCGTTAAAAGGAATATTAGAAATGCGACCGCAATTCAATTATTTGAATAAGAGTGACAAACGTTCCAAGGATGAGGCAAAGGCTCTAGGAGAAGGTAAAAGAGAATCTGTTGATGTACTGACGTACAAGTTTATTCACGTAGATAAGTATAGAACATTTAGCACTTGGCAAACGAATGAGAAAAGCTCATAAATTTATTTTGTTTGCTAAATAGATAGCGATGAGGAAGAGGAGAATGGTGCTCCAGTAAAAGTAACGTTTGCCAGACATCAACCAGATCATGTTAAGAAAATTCAGGAGCAGTCTTTCCAACATAATTCGAAGAAAAATCGAGAAGAAAGTTGGATACACACGACATACGTACCGATCCATGAAACGGTATCTCATGTCAGTATTAATATAATCACGAATACAATGTGTTTTATTCTTCTTTAAGCGCTATGTAGTAAAGTAGAACGTTTTATTTTACTACAACCCAAGCATGGTACCTTGTTGAATTTTGCAGTTAACAAGATTGGAGATGTTCTGTCCAACGTCAGACATGACACTGCACTCTCTGAATTTATCCAAGCATGAATATTTGGATCTGCTGATGCCGTCACGCTGTCAAACGTCTCAGAATAACACGGAATCTTTCGAACACATTAAGACATTGCCATTGCAAGAACAAATCACGTCATTTATGAAAAACGGTGAGAAAGACTAAAATAAAGTATAGATATAATTTAGTCTTAAATGTCTTAAGATATAATTTAGTCGTAAATGTCTTTATATAATTCGGCTTAGTAGAAAATCCTATTAGTTTCGAATAAATTAAACAGAGATATATATATATATATATATATATATATATATATATATATATATATATATATATATATATATAGAGAGAGAGAGAGAGAGAGAGTGTGTGTGTGAGTGTGACACAAAAAAGAAATGAGATCTTCTCTTTGCAGCGAGAGTCATATCTTTCAGCGATTTACGTTCAATATTGTCGTTGGAGCACAGCACGACGGATGTGCTCTGTCATTTACAAAAAGTGGCGATGTTAGTGCAGGGTAATTGGGTCTTAAAAAGCGAACTGATCTATCCCACTGGTTTTATATCTTCCCAGAATGGCATTTCCGCCGATCCCATGTGCAGAGCACGCGATTACATAGTGAGTGTTCAATCTAAGGATAGAGAATTGATTTAAAAAAATGCGCTTGCGAAATGTTTAGAGGAACCATCCAACCTGTAGCCAGATTTAATTATACTTGTGTCTTTTTTAGTTGTTATTGTTGACGGACCATGTATATCTCAAGCGCGATAAAATAATATCCGTCGTCAAACTGCCGTCGGCGGAAATGATGGAGATCCTAGAGAAACTGTGCACGAAGGATTCCAAAGAAGGATGGAAACTGATGATACCGCCTGATTGGAATTTTTGCAACAGGTAATTGTTAGAAAAGAGTATGCGGATTTTGCTGTCATTTACAGAAATTGCTCATATCTGTCGCTCCGACAACTATTATAAATATATTTGTAAGTTTCAATATCAAATATTCTTTAGCATTAATCGTTGTTAATTATTTGTAGATATCCAGAACTTGCTGAACGGCAACGGATATTTTGGGAAGCGAAGCGAAGATTTCTGCGTGAAAGTCATGCGCCACAGCGGCAACGCCGGAAGTCAAATCGGGAGTCACTGGGTTCGGAGAACGAAGAGAGGAACATTGGTCGCGGCAGGAAGTCACACAGAGACTCGTCCCTATCGGACAATGACGGCGCCACTGAGCCTGTTAAACCTAAGAAAACTAGTCATTCTAGGAAAAATTCAGAAACCAGCACTACTTGACCAAAACCAGTGTGTTGAAGTGAAGGCTTAGAGCTAAAGCAGAAAACGAGACATAAGCGTCGTAGTCGTAGACGTAAAGTAAAGCAGAGAAAAACGTAAACGCAAGTTATGAAAGACTATTAGCCTTATGTTTTTCTTTGTCTTACTTTACGTTTACTTATGTCAACTTTCTTCTTGATTTTTCTTCGAATTATTTTGGAAAGACTGCTTCTGAATTTTCTTTACATGGTCTGGTTGATGTCTCGCAAACGTTACTTTCACTGGCGCACCATTCTCCTCTTCCTCATCGCTATCTATTTAGCAAACAAAATAAATTTATGAGCTTTTCTCATTCGTTTGCCAAGTCTCGTTTTCTGCCTTAGTCCTTACTGTTTTGTAGCTGATTATCATTAGCATATCGTCACGATGTTGCAAACGGCGCAGAAGACTACTCATCCGAAATTGGATTTTTATGTTCATATCTCGACAATAAAACCGAGTTGATATGTTGTGCGTATAAATATGGTATGGTAGAACTCAATGGATTTTAAGTCCATTTCTCCTTAACCGCTCGGACACCGCAACTGTTTATAAATATGGTATGGAACATACCCTATATTTATTTGCATCGTGCGACAGTGTATAGTACATTTAAATGCGCGTATTACATTTGTACACACACACACACGACACACACATATATATATATATATATATA